TGGCACCTGAAGCTGACCTTTACAGACCCGTTTCCCAAGATACAATGAGAGTACGGTTGTCTCTGTCTAATTTGCACCATATGTCAACCTGCTGAGAATTCCTTTGTTTGTGGGGAGCCCGCTTCAGTGATGACAACGTCGTCTTTGGCCCTTGATTTATTTGTTGCTCTTATTTCGTTGTTTGGCTTATTTGTATCCTGTTGTGAGCGGGTGAGCGAGTAATTAAAAGCAGCTCGATAACCCTGGTGCCCTGTTAACGCGAGTGACCTTCGGTGGGGAATGGTCCTCGCGCTAGACGGAGGCATTCAGAAATGCCCGCCCAGAGGAAGAGGGTGAGCTTTGTAAGGTTCTTTGTTAACCGCGCTGACATTTGGAGACACTGCCTGCCTTTCTCCCAGAGCGGAGATAAGCTACGAAGCCAAGTGTTGTCTCGCTGCAGGAGGAGCCCACGGCGCAGTCTCGAGTCGTGACATTTTCCAAGTTTGTCATCACTTTCCTATTTTGAAGGAAAGCCTGTCTCCGTGTTCTCATTGCTTCCCATGTTGGCCAGGTGGGCGCGATTTTTAGAGGGATGCTCTCCAGGTGGAGAAGAGGTGAGGGGGAGGGGGAAGCGAGACCAGCAGCAGAGAACATGCTTAGTCTCTCTCGAAGGTCCCAGGTTTAGTGGATGGTATCTCCAGCTAAACAAAATACGGCAAATCAATTTTCCCGGGCCACTTTTGAGTTGTGATGGCTTTTGTCCTTGTAATGGCAGAACTTAGCTGGGGAGGGGAGATTATTGGGTTGTTTTTGTTTTTATTGTGCATTTTGATATTGTGATTTTATGTTGTAAGCACAGATGTAGGGGGGTATAGGTCAAAGGTAAAGGACCCCTGGACGGTTAAGTCCAGTTAAAGGCGACTATGGGGTTGCGGCGCTCATCTTGCTTTCAGGCCGAGGGAGCCGGCGTTTGTCTACACAGACAGCTTTCTGGGTCATGTAGGCAGCATGACTAAACTGCTTCTGGTGCAACGGGACACTGTGATGGAAACCAGAGCACACAGAAACACTGTTTGCCTTCCCACCGCTGCAGTATCTATTTATCTACTCACATTGGCATGTTTTAGAACTGCTAGGTTGGCAGGAGCTAGGACAGAGCAACAGGAGCTCACCCCGTTGCAGGGGTTCGAACCACTGACCTTCTCATAGGCAAGCCCAAGAGGCTCAGTGGTTTAGACCACAGCGCCCACCCGCATTATAAGGGCGGTATACAAATATACCGAACAACAACAACTTGGGAGCATCTTGTGGAATTCATTGGCAGTGGGTTCAGGTCAGACAAAAGAGACTTTGCAGTGTTGAATTAACGGATGGAGTTCGTTGCCACGAAATGTGGCGGTTGCTGCTCAGTTAGATCACTCTGAAAGGGGATTACAGTAGTACCTCAGGTTACATACGCTTCAGGTTACATACACTTCAGGTTACAGACTCCACTAACCCAGAAATAGTGCTTCAGGTTAAGAACTTTGCTTCAGGATGAGAACAGAAATCATGCTCAGGCGGTGCGGCGGCAGCAGGAGGCCCCATTAGCTAAAATGGTGCTTCAGGTTAAGAACAGTTTCAGGTTAAGTACGTACCTCCGGAATGAATTAAGTACTTAACCTGAGGTACCAGTGTAGAAACATTTCTAGAGGTTAATATCTGTGCTTTTAGGTGTTGCACCTAACATGGAACCTCCCCTCTTCAGAAGCTCAGGGACACAGGAAGTTGCCTTACACCGAGTCTGACCCTTAGGTCCATCAAGCTCAGTGTTGTCCACATAGACTGGTGGCAGAGCTCCAAACTGGAGTGCCTCTCAGCCGTACCTGGAGACACCAGGGATTGAAGTAGATACTCTGCCACTGAGCTATGGCAGTATACCTCTCAGTGCTGTAAGCTGTGGGGAGGTTTGCTGCCTTCCTGCCCAGTTTGCAGGCGTCCCAAAGGCACATAGCTGCCATTGCTGGAAACAGGACGGAGCCTTGGTGACAGAGCAAGGTGCTTTGTGGAAATCTGGGGTTGCTGCTGTGGATTGGTTGGATGCAGAGGATTGGTAGCAAGCACCAGCTGGGGAACCCCCAAGGGAACCCCCAGGGGAGAAGGCTCAGAGCCAGGGGACTGGTGGTAGGACGACGATGAGTGGTCAGAGGGAGAAGACTGGGAAACGGAGGTGTTGGGAGCTGAAGAGGCAGCAAGGGTTTAGTGAGCAGGAAGAGGCTGGGACAGAGAGCAGTCCAGAATCAGAGGCAGGAGAGGAAGGAGACCAGGAGACATAGATGGGACCAGCTGCTGAAGAAGCCAAGGGAGTCTCCCCCTTTTGCTGTGACTTGCTTCCCTCATATGTGGACCAGTCTTCCTTGTGATCTACTAGAATTTTCACTTGCTGACACATCATCCCTGTGTGCTGGAATAGCAGTCGCTTACTCCATCAATGGGGACGCGGGTGGCGCTGTGGGTTAAATCACAGAGCCTAGGACTTGCCGATCAGAAGGTCGGCGGTTCGAATCCCCACGACGGGGTGAGCTCCAGTTGCTCGGTCCCAGCTCTTGCCAACCTAGCAGTTCGAAAGCACGTCAAAGTGCAAGTAGATAAATAGGCACCGCTCCGGCGGGAAGGTAAACGGCGTTTCCGTGCACTGCTCTGGTTCGCCAGAAGCGGCTTAGTCATGCTGGCCACATGACCCGGAAGCTGTATGCCGGCTCCCTCGGCCAATAAAAGCGAGATGAGCGCCGCAACCCCAGAGTCGGTCACGACTGGACCTAATGGTCAGGGGTCCCTTTACCTTACTCCACCAATAATTTAACACTAAACAACCACAGTTTTGTATTGTCTGCACTGACAACTCTGTTTGTTCCCTATTGTGTTGGCAACGTGGACAGCTCAGGGGTAGAGTCCTTTAGTGGTGAAGCTATTGCTGGAGTGAACGACTGTTTTCTGAGAGTACAGATGTGCGCACATCCCCTCTCTGATGCTTGTGATGGGCAAGGAGCAAGTTTTTGAGTATAACCTTTCGGTCCAGCAATGAAATGCATGTGACTATGTATGCAGATCGATTCACAATAATTCTTGTTATTGGTCAATTGTCTGATAATGGCAAGTCTCAAATAAGTGAAGCCTTTGGGTGTTTCACTTGACCGTGTGGCCTCCTGTTTCAAGGGGGCTAGCATACAGCAGCAAGGGATTACGTCCATCTGGCTTGCCTGACAACAGAAATTCCCTAAACCTGCTTGTGCGAAATCTGCCCCAACTTGCTCGTAGCCTTTCCGTAGCCTCTCTCGTCTCGGCAAGCTGGGATTCCCCTTTGCTGGCATCACTCATCATTCGAATCCCGCCTCACTTTTTTTTGGCTACACAAGAGATCGTGTTCCCCCAGTATGCTGAATTAACCGGCTCTACCCTGACACTAATTTGACAAGGATCACTTTTAATTTATCACCACCTTGCTGGTTCATGTGTAAAATTAGTCTTTCACCTCCAGTGATATTTTTCTTTCCTCCCCCATTTATACACTGTGTGTATATTTGCTTTTCTGGTTGTCTCTCTCAAATGCCTGAGAGCTGACTAATAAAATTTTTTCGTTATCCAACTCTCCATCAAGGCAATAGCAGAGGAGAATCATTTTTGTTTTTCTTTTGTAAAAAACAACAACAACAACTCACAAATGTCAACAGTATTATCAAATTTGCTGCTGTGACTCAGCCCATTTCAGAGCTACACACCGGTCTTTCCAAACCAGGGAACAAGTTTGCCTTAGTTCTGCTCCTGCGAGCTGCAGCGCCGTGAGGTGCCATTTCGGGTACCACTCAAGATTGAGTGGATAGTAATCCCAGATATCGGCGGGGAATAATCAACTGCTGCTGTTTCATGTTTGCTTCAGCGTATTTCTCATGATTCAGTAGCAGAGCATATGCCTTGATCTCAGATTCAATCCCCAGTTAAAGGAGCTTGCAAAGCAGGGCTGCAAAAGATCATTGAATCGTACAGTTGGAAGGGACCCAGAGGTTCATCTAGTGCAGGCATAGGCAAACTAGGCCCTCCAGATGTTTTGGGACTACAGTTCCCATCATCCCTGACCACTGGTCCTGTTAGCTAGGGATCATGGGAGTTGTAGTCCCAAAACATCTGGAGGGCCGAGTTTGCCTATACCTGATCTAGTGCAACCCCCTGCAATGCAGGAATCTCAACAAAAGCATTCATGACAGATGGCCATCCAACCTCTGCTTTGAAACCTCCGAGGAAGGAGAGTCTGAGGGAGACTGATCTACTGTCAAACAGCTCATATGCCTTTAATTGGTAGCCATTAAATAAACACACAAGACGTAACCGGCTGCACATTTGAAAAAACAATATATACTATTCATTGTATAGAATTGTAGATTTCAACAGAAGTAGCTCATAAAGTTCAATGAAAAAAGTAGAAGACCCAGTGGATCAGTTCATTCTCTAATCAGTTTATGCATAGGGTCCATATATGTGAAAATGTCTATTTCACCTGTCTGTTCATAGAGTCCAACAATCCACACGAAAGGTTGTTGCAGTTCCACAGAATCTTTTCACAAAGTCTAAGGAGTGCTCATAATCAGTAGGAGTGGTTAAACGTGGAGATACATCGGATCTGTTAGATCTGTTAAATTTGCAGTGAATTAGCCAGTTTTAAGAAAAAGAAGTTGAGCAGAGATCGCAATGATTATTCTACAGGCAAAGTTTATTTATGGCTGAACTCCTCAGGACTAGTTCACTGGCAGTCTAACAGATCCAATGTATCTCCACATTCGACCACTCCTACTGTAAACACTGTCAGGATTTGATATGGGCACCAGTTACCAACTCAGCTGCTATATTTTCTGTCAATCACCCTTTTCGAACGGTCTCCCTCAGCGGCCCCTTGTAGAATGTGTCATTTTCTTTTGGTTACCTCCAACCAGGAAAGAACCTTTGTTTTGACTTCGTGATGAGCTGCCCCCTTTTTTCTTCCTTTCCAGGCTGCAAGCACGTCAAAGGCATCCTGTTGTTTGGTCCCCCTGGCTGCGGCAAGACCCTTATGGCCAGGCAGATTGGCAAGATGCTGAATGCCAGGGAGCCCAAAATAGTGAACGGGCCGGAAATCCTCAACAAATACGTCGGGGAGTCGGAGGCCAACATTCGCAAGCTCTTTGCAGATGCAGAAGAAGAACAGAGGAGGGTAAGTTGCCTTTTAAAAAAAAATTAAAAATGGAAGAACAAGATGCAGGTGGATGAAGATTCCTGCTGGAATCAGACATGATGGAGCATTGTTTGTTTCTCTCTTTCCTGTTTCAAAACCTTTACGGTGACATCACTGCATTGCCAGTTTTCTTGCCCCCACAAGCAGCGGGCGATGAAGTTGAGGAGGAATTGGGGAAACTCACCTATATGAATATGACTTGCATTATAATAATAAGAATAGATGTCATGGGAGGAAAGGAAACGACAGAGATTCAAGGCTGCTGCCGCCAGCTGTCTCCCTAGTGTAGAGCTCCAGCTGCATGGTTCATGGGATGACAGCATGGAAAAGACACTTTGGATGGTGGTAACCCAAGAGGCTCAGCCCTTAAGCTTCTGCAGTAGATTTCTGTATAGCTTCAAAGCATTGAAAGGGGGCCTGGGGCTGTTCAAGGGCTTTGCTCTTGGCAAATTCTGGTACCTGAGCCATGGCTCCTAGGCAAACATGCAAAACAGCTTTCACCAACCTACAGCGGCAGAGCATATGCTCGCGCTGCCCGGGGCTGGCGTGCTCCCAAAGGGGCGGGGCACGGAGGGTGCCCTCCCAGGCAAGGGACAGGATCACACTTCAAAACGACCTTGACAGATTAGAGAACTGGGCCAAAACAAACAAGATGAACTTTAACAGGGAGAAAGGTAAAGTATTGCACTTGGGCAAAAAAAATGAGAGGCACAAATACAAGATGGGGGACACCTGGCTTGAGAGCAGTACATGTGAAAAGGATCTAGGAGTCTTGGTTGACCACAAACTTGACATGAGCCAACAGTGTGACGCGGCAGCTAAAAAAGCCTATGCAATTCTGGGCTGCATCAATAGGAGTATAGCATCTAGATCAAGGGAAGTAGTAGTGCCACTGTATTCTGCTCTGGTCAGACCTCACCTGGAGTACTGTGTCCAGTTCTGGGCACCACAGTTCAAGAAGGACACTGACAAACTGGAACGTGTCCAGAGGAGGGCAACCAAAATGGTCAAAGGCCTGGAAACGATGCCTTATGAGGAACGGCTAAGGGAGCTGGGCATGTTTAGCCTGGAGAAGAGGAGGTTAAGGGGTGATATGATAGCCATGTTCAAATATATAAAAGGATGTCATATAGAGGAGGGAGAAAGGTTGTTTTCTGCTGCTCCAGAGAAGCGGACACGGAGCAATGGATCCAAACTACAAGAAAGAAGATTCCACCTAAACATTAGGAGGAACTTCCTGACAGTAAGAGCTGTTCGACAGTGGAATTTGCTGCCAAGGAGTGTGGTGGAGTCTCCTTCTTTGGAGGTCTTTAAGCAGAGGCTTGACAACCATATGTCAGGAGTGCTCTGATGGTGTTTCCTGCTTGGCAGGGGGTTGGACTCGATGGCCCTTGTGGTCTATTCCAACTCTATGATTCTACGATTCTACTCAGGTGCATGGAACAGCGATCGCTTCCTGCAGCACCCGGGGGCGGAGCTAGCCATCCACAGGGGTGGAGCTAATCACCCATGGCGGACATTCGGCGCGCTGCCCGTCCGCGACTCACAAGCCTCCCCGAAGCTGTCAGAACGAAGGGGGAAGGGGGGAATACTGCCGGCAGAGCGATGCAGCTCCCCCCTTCTCCCGGCGGCTCGGGGTAGGCTTGGGAGTCCCGGCAGGCGGTGCACCAAATGTCACCCCCCTCAGCGAAGGGGGTCAGAAAGACCCAACAGACACTCCATTTCCTCAGGGTCTTGCGAAAGAATAATGTTCAACAACAACTGATGAACTCCTTCTACCGGGCCACAATAGAAAGTGTCCTTTCATATTGTATCACAGTGTGGTATGCTGGCCTGACAGCCACGGACAGAAAGTCTCTACAGAGGGTGGTGAATACAGCACATGATATCATGGGCTGTCCCTTGAGTCCGCTAGATGATATCGCAAGGGATAGTGGCCTTAGGAGAGCGAGAAAAATTCTCAGGGATGACTCACACCCCGTCCACCACTTCTTCAATCTTCTACCCTTGGGCAGGAGATATAGAAGTATAATAAGCCGTACCAACAGGCTAAAAAATAGCTTCTATCTGTGGGCTGTTAGGCTGTTGAACGAAAAATAACGTAGCAAAATTGACTTGCAAGGTGGTGTGTTGTTTGATAAGAGATTGAGTGTTTTTTTTTTGGGGGGGGGGAGGCTCGTTTAATTTCATTGTACAGTGGCAATAAAGGTACAGTGGTACCTCTGGTTAAGTACTTAATTCGTTCCGGAGGTCCGTACTTAACCTGAAACTGTTTTTAACCTGAAGCACCACTTTAGCTAATGGGGCCTCCCGCTGCCACTGCACGATTTCTGTTCTCATCCTGAAGCAAAGTTCTTAACCCAAGGTACTATTTCTGGGTTAGTGGAGTCTGTAACCTGAAGCGTATGTAACCTGAGGTACCACTGTATTATTAATATTATTAGATAGGAAAAAGGAGGAGCAGCCCTTTTGGGGTCCATGATCTCTGGCATGTTTCTGTTTTTCTTCTTCACTAGCTTGGTGCAAACAGCGGCGTCCACATCATCATCTTTGATGAAATCGATGCCATATGCAAGCAGCGCGGGAGCATGGCGGGCAGCACCGGCGTCCACGACACGGTTGTGAACCAGCTGCTGTCAAAAATCGATGGGGTCGAGCAGCTAAACAACATCTTGGTCATTGGTATGAAAGCTATTTATTCTGTTTTGGGGTGGGGGCTCTGCTGTAGCTTCATGTCGGGCGCAGACTCTGCAGCGTTTGTGTTGGGCGCCATTTGTTGTTCGAATGTCTTAATCTTCAGATTTTAGGATACCTGAAATACACAAGAAAGGTGGCCTCGGGCAAGCAGTTAAATTGGATTTTGGCCAAGCTTTGCTTTGGGTGGGTAGAGATTGGCTGATATTTACATTCAGTTTTAAGAATGATTTCATTCCTAAATGGATTATTCCATTCCTTAGGTTTTTACAGTTCTTGCGGTAGATGAGGAAAATGCTGGCCAGTTTTTAAAACTTTTGAATTATATAAATAACAGAAAAATCAATGTAAAGCCATATATGGTTTTATTGTACATTGTAATTGTGAATGTTTTATTCTTCTGGTGCAGTTGGTTTGTTGTGTGTTTTAATTATGGATAGATTTGATAGTTGATTTGATAGTTGTAAAGTGCTTAGAAGCCAGTGATAAAGCCAGTCCAAAAGACACAGTGAGATTAAAACAGCTTTCAGCTAAAACCTCGATCTACCTTCTGTAATAAATGTTTTCGGGAGCCATCAAAAAGACATCAAGAGGTTTCCTGGTGGCTTCTCTGGAAGAGGAGATCCACAAAACAGGATGCTGTCTCTGAAAAGGCCTGCTCCTTTCAAAATACAGTCATACTTTGGTTCGCGAACGCCTTGCGAGTCAAACGTTTTGGCTCCCGAATGCCGCAAAACCCGGAAGTGAGTGTTCCGGTTTGCAAATGTTCTTTGGAACACAAACATCCGTTGTGGGTTCCGATTGGCTGCAGGAGCTTCCTACAACCAATCGGACACCGCGCCTTGGTTTCCAAACATTTTGGAAGTTGAACGGACTTCTGGAATGGATTCCGTTCGACTTCTGAGGTAAACTGTTCAGTATCAAAATGTTCTGCGTTTAAATGCCCGAGTTGTGATTTTTTTCCACCTTTCTGATTATTGGGATTTTTCAGTGGCAGAACTATTACTGAAACATGAGCCCACCCTCATCCGGATAACATGTTCCGGATAACAATGTAGTCTGTACCTGAAACTAAGCTCATGGTATTAAGCAAGGTAGCTGCAACCCCATGGCTCATAATATTAAGAGTTCCTCAATGCTGAATATCTTCTCCTGGTTCGTGTTTGCTCTTGAAAGTGTCTTTCCGCATAATATTCTCAGACTGTCTTAGCTCACTCTGGCACAACTTTCCTTCATTTCTGCTTTGCTGAACTGTAGGGAAGGAGTTGTGCAAATACTAGATGGTTCAGTTTGAAGATTACTTGATTAACGCCTGTTTTGCGAGAAAAGAATGCTTATTCTTATTTTTATAGCACCAATTTCACATTATTGTAACGTTAGCATTTATTATTATTATCTTTATAGCACCATAATTGTACCTGGCACCTTGGTTTGTATTTCTGTTTTATGAGACGCCTCGTAAAATAAAATCTCTTGGCATCGTATAGGATAAAAATTAAAACGCTGAAATAAAAACCCTTTTGCAAGAAACAGGAGAGCAACATAAACAAGACAGGGCTGTGCTCTGATTGTAAATTTAGCAAACGAGGAAGCAAACCAAGTAGAGGGTGGGGAAGAGGGAAGGATAAATTTGAATACTACCTAAACTTCCCAGTAAGATGGTGTTTGACGCATCATTATTGCTTAATATTTATACCTTGTTCCTTCCTGTGGGCTAAAAATAGGTTGCAGCAGTATTTCCAAACACACAACGACCTCACTGTCTAATAGCAAGGGAAGCACAAGAGCTTAGAAATAAATGAAGAAAATATAGACAGGCTTGCCTCTGAGACTGCGTTTAACAATGGCCCTTGTGGACTCGATGGCCCTTGTGGTCTATTCCAACTCTATGATTCTATGAAGATGGTTGGATAGTGTTTTCGAGGTTACCAGCATGAGTTTGACCAAACTGCAGGAGGTAGTGGAGGACAGAGGTGCCTGGCGTGCTCTGGTCCATGGGGTCACGAAGAGTCGGACACGACTAAACGACTAAACAACAACATGATTCTATGAAAGGGATGTAGCTGCTGAGTCTACCTGTATATTGCATATTTCCCAAATGCATATCTGTCCTGCTCACAATTTACATTTTTAAGTGTATACGGCCCACGGGCACTTTTTCCAAGGTACTTTCTCGCATTTTTTTCAAGGCCACAGCAGCAAATATGTCAGGAGTGCTCTGATGGTGTTTCCTGCTTGGCAGGGGGTTGGACTCGATGGCCCTTGTGGTCTCTTCCAACTCTATGATTCTATGATTCTATGAAATAATTCATCTTGACAAAATATACAGTCTTACCCGTCTAAAAGTGCATATGCTGTATATCAGGCTTCCTCAAACTCGGCCCTCCAGATATTTTCGGCCTACAACTCCCATGATCCCTAGCTAGCAGGACCAGTGGTCAGGGATGATGGGAATTGTAGTCTCAAAACATCTGGAGGGCTGAGGTTGAAGAAGCCTGCCATATATAATGTATTGATCTCCCCATGCATTGAGATACATGGTGGGAAAGACACTTTGCTCTGGGAGAGTCATAGAATGGACAAAACGATAAATAATGGGCTAAGTCTTAGATGCACTGAAAACTGAAGCAGCTACAGTTTCCCTTGCCTTGTCTGTTCAAAGAAGTAAAGAGAAGCCTTTACTTCTTAACCCTAAAAGGCTATCCAAGGAGTGATCTGCATGTTACTGTGTGCGTGTGTGGTTATTTGTGTAAGCAGTCAAACATCAGCTGGCAGTACTCTGCTGCTTAAACATTTCCAGAGCATCTTATGCAATCTTAGGTACAGTCAAACCTCAGGTTTTGGACATCTCAGCTGTCAAATGTTTTGGAAACCCGAAGTGAATGCTTCCGTTTTCAAACGTGCCTTGGAAGTCAAACGGGCTTCTGAGACACGTTTCTCAATTTCCCCCATTGAACTTGCTGACGTCCCTTTGATCCTCGGTTTTCGAATGTTGCGGAATTCAAACGGACTTCCGGATTACGTTAGAAAACCGAGGTTCCACTGTACAGTCGTACCTTGGAAGACGAACGGAATCCGTTCCGGAAGTCCGTTTGAATTCCAAAACGTTCGAAAACCAAAGTGTGGCATCCGATGGGCAGCAGGAAGCTCCTGCCGCCCATTGGAAGTCGCGGAAGCCCCATCGGACATTCGGCTTCCAAAAGAACGTTCATAAACCGGAACACTCACTTCCGGTTTCAATCATTCGGGAGCCAGAACGTTTGACTCCCAAGGCATTCGGGAGCTGAGGTATGACTGTATTGCTGGATGGACTGCAATTTAGCCCTGTGAGCTTGCTGGCTCACACACATTCTGATCAATAGATGTTGTTGTTGTTTAGTCGTTTAGTCGTGTCCAACTCTTCGTGATCCCATGGACCAGAGCACGCCAGGCACTCCTGTCTTCCACTGCCTCCCGCAGTTTGGTCAGACTCATGCTGGTAGCTTCGAGAACACTGTCCAACCATCTCGTCCTCTGTCGTCCCCTTCTCCTTGTGCCCTCAATTTTTCCCAGCATCAGGGTCTTTTCCAGGGAGTCGTCTCTTCTCATGAGGTGGCCAAAGTATTGGAGCCTCAGCTTCAGGATCTGTCCTTCCAGTGAGCACTCAGGGCTGATTTCCTTCAGAATGGAGAGGTTTGCAGTCCATGGGACTCTCAAGAGTCTCCTCCAGCACCATAATTCAAAAGCATCCATTCTTCAGCGATCAGCCTTCTTTATGGTCAATATCAATAGATATACACCCCCAAACACACACACAATGTGTGAGCAAAGCAACCTCAGCTGTAATGTTTGAAATGGCTCTTGCCTCATCCTCTCGAAGGGGTGAGTTCTAAATGGGGATAAGGAACCATTGCACATTGCCATTTGTCCTTGGGGAAATGAGAACTCTGCAAAGAGGAACCAAGGGGTGACAGTGGTCCCTGGGCTCAAGCTATTGAAGGTGCTCTTGATGCTTTTGCTAACGGCTTCTGTCTGATACATAGGAATGACCAACAGGCCGGACCTGATCGATGAGGCTCTCCTGCGACCTGGGCGACTGGAGGTGAAAATGGAGATTGGTAAGTAAGTCGAGGGAATGCTCATGGCCACAGGCTGACGGTGTGAACCAGAAAAAGAACCGAAAGCTTGTTCGATTTGAGCAGACTTGCAAATGAATACATAGGAGTTATCATTGTCGCCATGTTCTTGCTGGCCCTTCCCCTCTGCTTTCTGCATGCCAGAGGAGGAGGCTGTAAGCTTCTGTGATTTTAAATCCTGGCTTGTTCTTGTTAACCATAGCTTAAACAAGCCACAGTTTCTCCAAGTCTGGGTGTCATGGATTTAACTGGGGTTAGTTCATTTATTTATGTCATCTCTATACTGCCTGATGTTCAGTGGGAGGTTTACAATATTAAAAATGCATAATATAAAACGAACATATAGAACAGAATTAAACATCACGACAGAGGAAACAGCAGTGCAAAAAATATTTAAAAAACTAAAAAACAACAACACGTTTGCACCCCAAATGGTGAATAAAAATATGTTCATCTGATGCTGAAAAGCAGAGGTCCCACCACTGAAAAGGCCCTCTCTTTAGTAGCTGTCTTCCTTAATTCATTTATTGGGTCACCTACAGAAGGGCCTCAGAAGGTCACCTTACAGTCTAGGTAGTAAAAAAATAGTGGTTTTCAAAATACAAGGAGAGTGAGCACACAGGCTTGAGAATTGCCAAGGCTCACGCGCATATGTCTGAAATCCACCAATTTGGCTTCCCATCAGTGCCCTCTGAATGACCCCTTTCATTCTAGATGAAGCTAGAGTGCCACGTGACTTCCTTTCTTCTCTCCCAAGAAGCCCGTCAGAGCCCTGGGTTTTGGAGAAGGATGGCTTATTGCATTGCAGCACCTAGTATTGTGGCCGTGGAACAGAGAGTTGTTTTCCAATGCAAATAATTCACAGTGTTGATGATTTCATTTAGGTTTGCCGGATGAAAAGGGCCGGATGCAGATTCTTAACATCCACACCTCAAGGATGCGGACCCACCAGCTGTTGGCCTCAGATGTTGACATTTCGGAGCTGGCTGTGGAAACCAAGAACTTCAGTGGTGCTGAGCTTGAGGGTCTGGTCCGTGCAGCACAATCCACTGCTATGAACAGACACATTAAGGTTTGCTTCTTCCCTTCAGATGGCATTGGCTATAAATCCAAGATGGATCTTCTGTTGCCTCCCTCTTCTTCCTCCTCCTCCATCATTCAATAATGCTTCTGAACATCTCCCCTGCCTCAGTTAAAGAAAGAGGTGGACCTTCTCAGATCTCAACCCAGAGCTTCCCTTTCTACTCCCAGCCTCCTACCCTGGGAGATCTTCCCTTCCCAGCCTCTCACACAGGCAGCCGTCACCTTCAACTGTGCACAGTCTCCTCTTTAACCCAAAGTAGGGGACAACAAGCAGAGATGCAGGTGGCGCTGTGGTCTAAACCACTGATCCTTTTGGGCTTGCCAATCAGAAGTTCGGTGGTTCGAATCCCCGCGACGGGGTGAGCTCCCGTTGCTTTGTCCCACCTCCTGCCATACTAGCAGTTCGAAAGCATGCCAGTGCAAGTAGATAAATAGGTACCACTCCAGCGGGAAGGTAAACGGCGTTTCCGTGTGCTGCTCTGGTTTTCGTGTTCCGTTGTGCCACAAGTTGCTCAGTCATGCTGGTCACATGACCCAGAAAAACTGTCTGCGGACAAACACTGGCTCCCTCTGCCTGTAAAGTGAGATGAGCACCACAACCCAGAGTCTTTCGTAACTGGACTTAACTGTCAGGGGTCCTTTACCTTTTTAGGGGACAACAAAAGCAAAACAAAGCAAAAAAAAAAAAAAAGGGAAATTAACAGAAAGATTAAAGTAAAAAAGGAACGAGAAAGTAATAAAGGGGAAGGATTCGGAGGTGGGGAGTTGGTTTGCACCTCTCCAGTCACTGAATTCGGTCATACCTTGGTTGACGAACGGTTTAGTTGCCAAACGTTTCGGTTTTCAAACGATTTTTGGAAGCTGAACGTCGGGCACGCCTTGGTTTTTGAACAGTTCCAGGGAGTCGAACAGACTCCCAGAACGCATTCTGCTCATCAACCAAAGTATGACTGTACTGGGAACCCTTCCCCATCCCACTGTTGGTGTCTAAACTTTCATAAGACATTGCCACACGCTTTTCCTCTGCAGCTCTAAGGAGGGACTAAGATTACGTGAGACACAACTTAAGCTTTCAACAGGAGACTCATTGCTTCTTGCATGTACTGAACCTATAGATCTGCACAGAGGCCTCTTTCTGTGCACAGTTGTGCAGAAAAGTTAAGCATATGTGTCGTGCGCCTGTGTTGCTGTTCAGCTCCCGGAGCTGAGATTTCAAGATGGGATGTAGTTGGTGTTTGTCTCTTCCCCCGTCCTCCTTTTTTTTTTTTTAAGTTGTAAAGGTCACTGTGCCTTTAATAGGAAATGAGTGATGCAGGCTGCGAAATGTCAGAGTGAGAAGGTTAGAGATTAGCTGGAACATGCAAAATAAGGGTTTGCTATTGAAGAGTGTTGAAATGCTTATATATATATATATATTTTGTTAGCTTGCCACAGGTGTAGAGCCAGGAATGCACCCTAGAACAGGCAGGCGTTGGTGTAAAAGTTTTAATGTTGTGCAGTGATTTCAGGAGGGGGAAGAGTGCTGTGGCCAGTTACTGGCTTGAAAAGACACCCTAAAGATTTGGTGGCGATGGGGTCCAGACCCTTGGCTCCACTAACATCCCAACCCCCCCCCAAAAGCCCTTCGGGTTTGCATTACCAAGCTAGTTACCCTCTGCAGGTTTGCCGACCTGCTCACATCCTCAACAGGAACCACGTGAAGACTGTACACCAGCGCTTCTCAACCTGTGGGTCCCCAGATGTTGTTGGACTACAACTCCCATCATCCCTGAGCTCTGGCCTTGCTAGCTAGGGGTGATGGGAGTTGTAGTTCAACAACATCTGGGGACCCACAGGTCGAGAAAGGCTGCTGTACACAAATGCCCCTGTTGTGTAAGAGCAACACAGAAAAGAAGGCCAGGAATGGGGAGCATGTTCACCTTCAGATGCTGTTGGGCACAACCCTCTTCCGCCCCAGCCAGCATAGCAAAGGACCAGGGGATTCTGGGAGTTGCAGTCCAGCAACACCTGGAAGACCATAGAGCTCAGGCTGATGATTCAAAGCAGGCATCTTGACTGGTTCTCATCATTAGAAGGGATCAGCAAAATATGATTGGGTAGGATGAAAAGAGAGATGGGAAGGGGAAAGACCCGTGCAATTCTTCTCCCAAGCTTCTTTTTATCCTCAGAAAGGTCTAAACACATTTCCCCCTTCTGTTTCAACGGAAGCTGAGACTCTTTAGATTTTTGCAGGGCTTCCAAAGAGCCCCGCCTCTTGACCTCAGCAGCTTTCTCTGTGAACATGTGCCTCCAGCTGTCTCTCTCTCTCTCTCTTTTTGGAAATATTTTTTATTCGGTTTTACAAATACAAATTTGTAACAAATACCATTATAGCTCCATATAAAGAGATTCCCCTCAATTTCCAGACTCCCCCCCCCATCCCCTCCATGGGTCCTAATGCCAGCATTTACACCTGCGCATCAATCCATTATCCACATATTTTATCCATCCGAGTTATCCATAGTCTTTGTCACCTTACCAGTGAGTTTAAAATCCTGCTAACGTTTCCATCTGCTTACAATGATCTCCTAAGTAAATTATAATTTTTTCCCATTCTTTTTTGAAGTTCTTGTCCTCTTGGGTCCTGAGCTTTCCAGTTAATTTTGCCATTTCAGCATAGTCCATCAACTTGGTTTGCCATTCTTCCCTAATCGGGATTGTGTCTTCTTTCCATCTCTGGGCTAGTAACATCCGTGTGGCTGTTGTCGCATACATCAGTAGTCTTTTCTGGTCCTTTGGGATCTCGGTACCTATGATTCCTAATAAAAAAGCTTCTGATTCCTGCTGGCTGTCTCACTAACATGCCATCTCCTCTTGCGATCAGGCCACCACCAAAGTGGAAGTCGACATGGAGAAGGCAGAGTGCCTGCAGGTGACAAGGGTAGACTTCTTAACTTCTCTGGAGAATGACATCAAGCCGGTGAGTGAACCCCTTTTAATCCCGCAGACTTTTGTGTTGCTCCCCTTTGTGGAAGACCAGAGGCAGGCTGGAATGAACCGACAATGACGTCCTGATTTTGCACCATCTCCTTTTCTTCAACCTGCAGGCATTTGGGACCAATCAGGAGGATTATGCAAGCTACATCATGAATGGGATCATGAAATGGGGTGACCCTGTCACTCGGGTGCTGGACGACGGAGAGCTTCTTGTTCAGCAGGCCAAAAACAGTGACCGTACCCCGTTGGTCAGCGTCCTTTTGGAAGGTAGGTTTCCCTCTCCACATTGTCTTCTCAGCCAGATTAGGACTGGAGAAACTGCTGTCATATGATGTCAGGTAATTGAACTTTCAATGTAAATTGAATATTCAGCCACTTATTATGGAGGGGAAGTGCATGGATCAGGTCTCGGTGTTTCAATTTCTGGGAATGGAGTTGAGAGATGACCTAACCTGGGGAGAGAACAGCAAAGACCTGATGAAGAGAGCACAGCAGAGGTTATATTTCCTGAGAACCCTCCGGAAAAACAATCTCTCAAAGGACCTGTTGATGGCATTTTACCATTGTACTGTGGAGAGTGTATTAACTTATGGTCTGTGTGTGTGGTTTGGGAGCTGCACAGTCAGGGAAAAAACTATGCTGTCCAGGGTTGTAAAGACTGCGGAGAGAATAATTGGGTGCACTCTTCCCACCTTGGATCAAATCTATGCTTCCAGGTGCCATAAGAAAGCTGCAGAGATAGCGCAGGATAGTGCACACCCTGGAAATGATCTCTTTCAGCTTCTGCCTTCTGGAAGAAGGTACAGGGTTATAAAGACTAGGACTAGCCGCCTGAGAAACAGTTTCTACCCAAATGTGATTTGGGTTTTAAACGCTTTGTAAGGAGTCTGTATGGGAGTATATTGTATTTAAAAATGGGGTATCAGAGTTTTTAGGGGGCTAACCAGGTTGGGATAGCTGGGATAGAAGGCTTGTTGGATTTTGAATGTAGATTATGTAGATTTTTCAATTCATTGTTCTGTATGGGACAATGACAGTAAAGATTATCTTATCGCATCATATCGTATCGTATCATCATATCGATTCAAAGCCAGGGCAAGATTGTCTCTTTGCAGGCCTGGCTAGCTGCACAGGACGAATTGGGAACACAGTTTAAGTGTGCTCCCAGTTCTTCCTTTGCAAGCCAAACAAGTAAAGCCAAACAAGTAAAGAGAAAAAGTCGTCAAATTCAAAAAGTGCTGTATTTTGCCCACAAAGGAAAAGCCGGGAGCAAATTTAGAGCGTGCTCCTGAGTCCTCCTTGCTTCCAGTTCCAACTTAAAGTTTCACAGAGTGTTGGGCAGCTTGAAGCTTCATCGCACCTGCGAAAGGTGGGTCATTCAAATGGTCTGGCGGGGCTCATTATGGGCAACATGCTGTCCACTCCTACAGCCATTACAGCAAAATTGCTTGACTTAAGTACTTTCTAGCACTTGAGAACTCCTGTAATTTGGATGGGAAAGGTACTGGAATCTTCAAGAGATTAAGCAAAAGCATGTTTGGCGCCCTGGTGGAAAAAGAAGACTCATGTTTTCAGGGAATCAGTGAGCACTGTTCTGTCACTGATTCCCTCACTGATAACTCGCCGTGATTCAAGTCAGACATCACGTCAGACCATGATAAGGAAGCTGATTGATGTGATTTCAATTGACAGGATGTGGTATATAATCAGCCAGCAAACCAAAATTGGAAACCATGGTTTGAAATGACTTTGCAAACCGTGATTTGGACTAACAATGGTTTAGTGGGATGTATGGCTTCAAATAAAGCCATTGCTCCACTGCCACAGACTCCTACAACCTTGAATTCATGAATCTGGGTGTAGTTCTGAACCATGATTTGCCTTTTGTGCATTTGAGAGCACAAACTATAGATTGGTTGCTTAACGATGGTTAGTGCAAACCATGCTTAGTTCTGGCCACCATTGCCATGTTTCTTTGGCCAATGGGATGTGAGCAGAATCCTTTCTCTGCTGTGAATACCCATCTTCAAGGACACTCAGTACTGCACATTCAGAACTGCAACACTGCTCAATGGGCACCTGATCAGAATAATTTGAGTTGCAATTCAGGTTATGCAATATTCTAGATCATGGGTAGGCAACTTAAGGTCTGGGGGCCGGATCCGGCCCAATCGCCTTCTAAATCCAGCCCACAGACGGTCTGGGAATCAGCATGTTTTTACATGAATATGTGCCCTTTTATTTAAAATGCACCTCTGGGTTATTTGAGGGGCCTTCCTGGTGTTTTTACATGAGTAGCATGTGTGTTTTTATTTAAAATTCATCTCTTGGTTATTTGTGGGGCATAGGAATTTATTCCCCCCCCAAAAAAAATATAGTCCGGGCCCCCACAAGATCTGAGGGATAGTGCTGGAAAAGTTTGCTGACCCCTGTTCTAGATCCATGACAAAACAGTAAAAGACAAACAAACCATGGAAACGAATGGGCATCTTTTTCAAGTGAGATTGGATGGTTTCAGCCAGGGCATGCAACTTTTAATTTTCCTTGAGCCTTGCTGAATTTGCTGTTACCTCTTACTCACTTCTGTCTGTCCTGTGATCCTTACAGGTCCCCCACACAGCGGAAAGACGGCCTTGGCTGCAAAGATTGCAGAAGAATCTAACTTCCCATTTATCAAGATCTGCTCTCCAGATAAGATGATTGGCTTTTCAGAAACTGCCAAATGCCAGGCGATGAAGAAGGTATATTTTGCGAATCCCTTCCACGCCACATTTTTTGTTTGTTAGATGTCACGGGCGTTGTGTCTGTTTCCCTACTACTCCGTCAATGTCCTGTGCTACTTTCAAATTTATAAAATGATGCCGCAAACTATAGAAAGTTGCGTGGTCCCGACGCCTCCACGAGGTTGAATAAAGACACTTGACACAAGTTTTTTAGGTTAATGGGCTAAAAAAGGCCACAACTTTATTGGTTACAGATTGTGAGCGGCATTGGCTTAGGCATCGGTCCTAAACGACTATATCTGACTCTTGCCTGTCTGCACGGAGTCCGTGAAGGGTTAACCACCAGTAGGGGGAGTCCTGCTGATGCACATTAACTAGGAGCTCCCCCAGGGTCACCAATAGGGGTCGTGCATTAGACCCTAGCCTCCCCAGGCTTTGGACAGGGCCACACCCCCAGAATCCTTTAACACAGCAGTTCTCAACCTGACCACTGGTCATGCTGGCTAGGAATGATGGGAGTTGTAGTCCAACAACATCTGGGGACCCACGGGTTGAGAAACACTGCTTTAACGGAATACCCTTCAATGTGTGGAGGAGGTGATAGCGCTACCTCCCTATCTCTCTTCTCCAGCAATATTCCAATGCCTAACCGCCAAACCTTACAAAGTTGTGACAATTTGCTACATGGGTGGCGCTGTGGGTTAAACTACAGAGCCTAGGACTTACCGATCAGAGGGTCGGCAGTTTGAATCCCCGTGACGGGGTGAGCTCCAGTTGCTCAGTCCCTGCTCCTGCCAACCTAGCAGTTCAAAAGCATGTCAAAGTGCAAGTAGATAAATAGGTACCTTCCGGCGGGAAGGTAAACGGCGTTTCCGTGCGCTGCTCTGGTTTGCCAGAAGCGGCTTAGTCATGCTGGCCACATGACCCGGAAGCTGTACGCTGGCTCCCTCAGCCAGTAAAGTGAGATGAGCGCCGCAACCCCAGAGTCGGCCACGACTGGACCTAATGGTCAGGGGTCCCTTTACCTTTAGCTTTTTAGGCGAAAACCCAGTGGCGGAGCCAATTTGCCAAGTGGGAAAAGTCCTACCAGGCCCCTCAATGGCGACCAACCACAGTCCATAGCAAGGTCAAGAGATGAAATAACCTAAAGGGCGGGAGGGTGGGAAAACCGGAGTAGCTGGAAGCGCGGAAAGGGGTGAGATTCCCGCTGCATCCTGCTTAAAAAGCAGGCCACACCCCCAGAGCAATTGGCTTGGTTGCCTGGGCAGTGGCGCAGGCACGAAACCCCCCAATCGCGCAGGGCTGACCCCACCTTCCTAAGGCGGAAGTGGCTTTGTCAAGAATAGACAGTGAGCAAGATCATCTTAACCGATTGCTCAGTTGAATGGAACGAACAAAGAATGAAAAAATTCAGTAAATCAAAAGGAAGATACCTTCCATTTCCCTGGCTTAAGAAGGAAATAAATGCAGTCTGTCTGTATTTATGTGGAACCCTCACAGAAAGAGAGTTAAGATGAAGCAAACATCCCCTAATGGGATGAATACATAGGCCAAAGAAAAGATTGACTTGAGAATCCTAAATATTATTCTATCTCTAGAAAGCGCATATTCCCCAGAGACATCTGAGCCACAGTTAATTATACGGCCTTCCAAATGTGGGGGAATTGTTGCTTTTTAAATTGCTTTTCACCAGGATCTGCACTGGGGGGGGGGGAGGAGGTAGTTTGAAAGAACTGAATACGGACAAGCAGAGAGGCGGCTTGGTTTTTCCGAAAAACAGGGGCATTTCCTTCCAAGAATTCCAAACATCTAAGAACCTCTCCAGAGGAGGAGAGCAAAATTGCTGGCAATATATAATGTGCATGATATTTCTTCATTAATCTCCGTGTTTTTAGAAAAAGACTTCAAAACACCTGTTCTTCAGGCTTGACTGTGCCTGTTCAGGGACAGCAACCATTGCCAAGTTGTTGCTCCTGGAATTTGTCTCGCATTCTAAGAAATGTTTTTCCACAGCCTTAGAATACGCTGCGTTTTGTATGGACGCCAACCGTGCGTTTGGCTTTTGTCTGTTCCTTCAAAGCAAATAAATAAATCAAATCATGTGTTCGCAACTAAGGATTTAATTTCTACCCTTCATGGGTCCCTCCCCCCCCCACTTTAAAGTACAGTCATTGTAGCTAAGAGGTAAAAAAATTAACCTTTCGCTTTCCGAAAAACAGATCTTTGACGATGCTTACAAGTCTCAGCTCAGCTGCGTTGTGGTGGACGACATTGAAAGACTCCTAGGTGAGAGAGGTGGAAGATGGGATGACTGTGAGGGGTCTGGCATGAGGCATTTTCTGAGGCAAGATCTTCCTTTCTGTAGCCTTTTCCCCAATCCTAGGGCTCTTGTTACTGGAACACCGGAACCTGACTCAAGTAGGTGGTTGCTGAGGGCAGACTGAAGCAAAGACCAGGGAAGAACATAATAATAATAATAATAATAATAATAATAATAATAATAATAATAATAATTTATTATTTATACCCCGCCCATCTGGCTGAGTTTCCCCAGCCACTCTGGGCGGCTCCCAATCAGTGTTAAAACAGTACAGCGTTACATATTAAAAACTTCCCTGAACAGGGCTGCCTTAAGATGTCTTCTGAATATCAGGTAATTATTTATCTCTTTGACATCTGATGGGAGGGCGTTCCACAGGGTGGGCGCCACTACCGAGAAGGCCCTCTGTCTGGTTCCCTGTAGCCTCACTTCTCGCAATGAGGGAACCGCCAGAAGGCCCTCGGCGCTGGATCTCAGTGTCCGGGCTGAACGATGGGGGTGGAGACGCTCCTTCAGGTATACAGGACCGAGGCCGTTTAGGGCTTTAAAGGTCAGCACCAACACTTTGAATCGTGCTCGGAAACGTACTGGGAGCCAATGCAGGTCTCTCAGAACCGGTGTTATGTGGTCCCGGCGGCCACTCCCAGTCACCAGTCTAGCTGCCGCATTCTGGATTAATTGCAGTTTCCGGGTCACCTTCAAAGGTAGCCCCACGTAGAGCGCGTTGCAGTAGTCCAAGCGTGAGATAAACTAGAGCATGCACCACTCTGGCGAGACAGTTCGCGGGCAGGTAGGGTCTTAGCCTGCGTACCAGGTGGAGCTGGTAGACAGCTGCCCTGGACACAGAGTTAACCTGCGCCTCCATGGACAGCTGTGAGTCCAAAATGACTCCCAGGCTGCGCACCTGGTCCTTTAGGGGCACAGTTACCCCATTCAAGACCAGGGAATCCCCCACACCAACCCGCTCCCTGTCCCCCAAAAACAGTACTTCTGTCTTGTCAGGATTCAACCTCAATCTGTTAGTCGCCATCCATCCTCCAACCGCCTCCAGGCACTCACACAGGACCTTCACCGCCTTCACTGGTTCTGATTTAAAGGAGAGGTAGAGCTGGGTGTCATCTGCATACTGATGAACACCCAGCCCAAACCCCCTGATGATCTCTCCCAGCAGCTTCATATAGATATTAAAAAGCATGGGGGAGAGGACAGAAACCTGAGGCACCCCACATTGAAGGCCCTCTGTGCATAGACAAGAGCCAGTCTCTTATTTGCTTGGGCTAATAATAATAATAAAATAAAAATAAATTTTTATTTATACCCCGCCCTCCCCAGCCAAGACCGGGCTCAGGGCGGCTAACAACCAATAATAAAAGCAAGTTGATTAAAATACAATTTAAAAGATTAAAATACAACATTAAAACATTAGGATGCAGCCTCTTCACAGGAGGAGAAAGGAAAAAGAAAGAGGGGGAGGGAATCAAACTGATTCTAAGCCAAAGGCCAGGCGGAACAACTCTGTCTTACAGGCCCTGCGGAAAGAAATCAGATCCCGCAGGGCCCTGGTCTCATGAGACAGAGCGTTCCACCAGACCGGAGCCAGTGTTGAGAAGGCCCTGGCTCTGGTTGAGGCTAATCTAACTTTCTTAGGGCCCGGGACCTCTAGGGTGTTGCTATATATGGACCTTAAGGTCATCCGTGGGGCATACCAGGAGAGGCGGACCCGTAGGTACGAGGGTCCTAGGCCGTGAAAGGCTTTAAAGGTCAAAACCAGCACCTTAAATCTGACCCTGTACTCCACCGGGAGCCAGTGCAGCTGGAAAAGCACTGGGTGAATATGCTCCCATGGCAGAGACCCTGTGAGGAGCCTCGCTGCTGCATTCTGCACCCGCTGGAGTTTCTGGGACAGCTTCAAGGGCAGCCCCGCGTAGAGCGAATTACAGTAGTCAAGCCCGGAATTACAGTAGTCAAATCTGACATGTAATCCTTTATAGCAGGGCTAGAGAACCAGTAGCCCTCCATAGAGTTTTGCACTCCCATCGTCTGTGACCGGCAACCATGCTGGTTGGCACTAATGGAGAGTGTTGTCATTGGCATCCGTCCGTCTCGAGAAACGATGGAGTGCACCTCCAGGGGCGAAGTCAAACCGCTGCCTTAACAGCACCCATGTGACGTCCCCAGGGCGCAAGCCTGGGCAGTTTTTATGGAGATCCCAGGCTGCCCAGATGACATCGGCCTCGCCAATGTGGTCCAAAGGAAAGCAGGGCAATACGCTTGGCACCAGCTTGGCTTTAGGAGTTGCCAGAAGGCACCATCCAACCATCTTAGGGACCCCATTCTGGATTTATGTAGGGTTTACTCCAGTGTTTCCCAAACATGGCTCTCCAGCTGCTGCTGTTTTTTTTGGACTACAACTCCCATCATCCCTAGCCAGCAGGACCAGTGGTCAGGGATGATGGGAACTGTAGTCTGAAAAAAAGAGCTGGAGACCCAAGTTTGGGAACTGCTGGTTTATTCCTTAGCCTTTTCTTAGCCCAACCAAAGGCAGCAGAGGTTTAGGATCAGAGTTCTCTACCTAACTATGAAGATAACATAGAACGAAAGGGTTTAAGGTCAGTGAGAAAGAGGAGGATTGGTTTGAGAAGATATTGGATTATTTGAGTAGGTTTGAACAATTTGGGGCAGTTAAAATGTTAAAAGTTAACTAAACCTTGTGGAAGGAGGAGTGTTAAGGTATATAGAAGCGTACATATGGTTAATTTGAATATGTTATTATTGAATATATTTTTGAATATGTATATTATTGAATATTGTATACCCAATGTATCAGCCGCCTGGGGGATTTCATTGTTTGTGTTTTGGTGGCGGGTGGCGCTGTGGGTTAAACCACAGAGCCTAGGACTTGCTGATCAGAAGGTTGGCAGTTCGAATCCCCGTGATGGGGTGAGCTCCCATTGCTTGGTCCCTGCTCCTGCCAACCTAGCAGTTCGAAAGCACGTCAAAGTGCAAGTAGATAAACAGGTACCGCTCCAGTGGGAAGGTAAACAGCGTTTTCGTGCGCTGCTCTGGTTCCCCAGAAGTGGCTTGGTCATGCTGGCCACATGACCCGGAAGCTGTACGCCGGCTCCCTCGGCCAATAAAGCGAGATGAGCGCCGCAACCCCAGAGTCGGTCACGACTGGACCTAATGGTCAGGGGTCCCTTTACCTTTAAAAATAATATATATATATGATGAGAGTTCTCCTCCTCCTCAATGGGCTGCCTTCCAAGGTTGATGAGCCCCATCTGCCCCTCTCTTCCTTCTATAGCATGCGCAGAAAGAAACCTGTGGTCCTCCTTATGTCCAACAACATCAGGAGGATGGCAAGTTTTTCCAGCTCTGCTGCTGTCTCCGCAGCCCCTTCCCTTTGGACTACCCAGAGCTGGGGGACAGCGTATAAGCCGAATGCCTGCCCTACATCCCTGCAGGCCCCACCCAGACCTGAAAAGAGTGTATGGCGCTTAGCAGCACCGACCCAGACACCCAACATTTGAAAAAAAGCCACAACTGAACTTGGTTGGAGCTCAGTGAGTCACCTTGTTCCCTTTCCTCTTTCAGATTACGTCCCGATTGGCCCCCGGTTCTCCAACCTGGTGTTACAGGCTCTTCTGGTGTTGCTGAAGAAAGCGCCCCCTCATGTAAGTCTCCATTTCTTGCAGCAGAGCGCAATGTTTGCAAACTGCGTTGGGCCCTCATTCAAGGCCAGTGGGAAAGCTGAGCAGGACCCATGCCTATCGGTTTTGATAATGTTCTGTTGTGGTGGCCCGTGTGTTTCTCTCCTTGAGCACAGGAGGGCCATGCAGTATGAGGGAAACCTTGCCGGGCTGGGAGGGCAGGTCTTTCTGACTTTAAAGCCTTAAAAGGCCTCGGCCCAGTATACCTGAAAGAGCGTCTCCACCCCCATCGTTCAGCCCAGTCACTGAGGTCCAGCTCTGAGGGCCTTCTGGCGGTTCCCTCACTGCGAGAAGTGAGGTTACAGATAACCAGGCAGAGGGCCTTCTCGGTAGTGGCACCCACCCTGTGGAACGCCCTCCCATCAGATGTCAAGGAAATAAACAACTATCTTACTTTTAAAAGACATTTGAAGGCAGCCCCGTTTAGGGAAGTTTTTAATGTTTGATGTTTTATTGTGCTTTTAATACTGTATTCTGTTGTGAGCCACTTAATATTCTGGAACCCCAGCCAAATGGGAGGAGTATAGAGTATATTATTATTATTATTATTATTATTATTATTATTATTATTATTATTATTGATATTATTATTATTGTTGATATTATTATTATTATTATTATTATTATTATTATTGATATTATTATTATTGTTGATATTATTATTATTATTATTATTATTATTATCATCATCATTATTATTATTATTGATATTATTAATATTATGAAGTCTTCTGCAGGGAGTGGATCTCAGTCGAATTCTCAGTCAATCCCTTTACCTTTACTACCACAAAGCTGCCAAATAACAGTGAATACAGCCCTTCTTCGTGGATTGTAAGCTACTCAAAGTTTCTAGGGCAAAGTCTGATTTGCTTATTACAGTGGACGCTCAGGTTGCAAACGTGATCCGTGTGGGATGCACGTTCTCAATCTGCAGCGTCCGCAACCCGCAGTGGCGCGTCTGCACACACACGGGTTGCAATTTGGCGGTTCTGCGCATGCGCAAAGCGGATTTAGCGCTTCTGCGCATGTGTGACCGACGAAACACGGAAGTAACCCGTTCCGGTACTTCCGGGTTTCGGTGGTCCGTAACCCAAAAAAACGCAACCTGAAGCATCTGTAACCCGAGGTATGACTGTATTATTATTACAGTGGTACCTCAGGTTAAGAACTTAATTTGTTCTGGAGGTCCGTTCTTAACCCGAAACTGTTCTTAACCTGAGGTACCACTTTAGCTAATGGGGCCTCCTGCTGCCGCTGTGCCGCCACCGCACGATTTCTGTTCTCATCCTGAAGCAAAGTTCTTAACCCGAGGTACTATTTCTGGGTTAGCAGAGTTTGTAACCTGACGTGTCTGTAACCTGAAGCGTCTGTAACCCGAGGTACCACTGTATTATGTTGCCAGCGAACCTACAGAATTTGGATTCTCTAAGGCTGATTCCTGCAGGGTGTGTGTGTGTGTGTGTGTGTAAACTTACCAAAAACATCAGATGGCTGCTTCACCTTTGCATCTTTCAGGCAGAAAGGTGTTTGTGCAAGAGGAACCCAATCAGAGCAGGAACGGCCATATTTGCATTAATTGCTTGACCTTGACCAGGCTATTTCCCATTAAGCTCTGGGGTTTCTTGAGACCACGGGGATAACCCGACATAGGCACCTCTGAGCCCCTTGAAGGGAAGGGTTGAGGTACTGGTGTGACAGATAATTAAGTGTATATTATTCCACACGGTGGCACACTTGTCCAGGCACCTCCCCACACGTCATTGGTGAAGCTTCCGTGTGGAGGTTTTCATGCGGTATTTTTGTTCGGTAAGCAGCTGAAACCAGCTGAATAAAAAAAGCCTAGTTTGTGGCGCGACTGCTTCCACGATCCACAAACCAAGCTATGTGAGACGGTTCTGTCTGCAGCGGCTGGGTTTTATTATTCCACGTTGCTTGCCAGTCGTGCAGCCTGTCTGCCTTACAGCTTCCTATAAATACTCCCCCCCACACACTTCTCTCACAGGGATGAATTCAGATTCTTTTCCTTCCAGAAACCACTTTGTTGCTCCCACAGAATTCATTAGGAATACAGTAGTACCTCAGGTTACAAACACCTTGGGTTACAAACAATTCGGTTTACAGACTCCGCTAGCCCGGAAGTAGTACCTCGGATTGAGAACTTTACCTCAGGATGAGAACGGAAATCGCGCGAGATTACGTTCGACAACCGAGGTTTGACTGTATGCAATGTTTTTGTAAAGAAAAAAAGTGAGAGACGTTGCACGTTCTTTGTAGTTCATGAAAATCTTCAATAAAAATTGTTTTTTTAAAAAAGAAGAGAACGGAAATCGCGCGGTGGCGTCAGCTGGAGGCCCCACTAGCTAAAGTGGTACCTCAGGTTAAGAACAGTTTCAGGTTAAGAACAGACCTCCGGAACGAATTACGTTCGTAACCAGAGGTACCACTGTATTGCTGCTTGCAAAGTACCCAGACTTCCTGGGATTCTTCAGCTTTGCAAACATTCGGTGCAAAGCCATTTTGGGAACCTGACAACCCCATATTCTGTCCCACTTCCCCTAAACTGCAAAGTGTTACAATATAAGGCGAGAATACGACATACGACACGAACGCCACGTCTATTTACATGTTATAAATAGTCCAAGGAGAATTTAAAACATCACCAATTTGAGGGTTTTTATGTTTTTTGTTACAAAGCTGTTATGAAATGAAAGCGAATCAAATAAAACTCTTTTCTTTCTCCCTGCTCTTTTATTTCAGTCAGGTTTCCCTGGGTTTTTGCGAGGGGAAGAGATTGTCGAGGGGAGGAATGGTTGGTGGGGAGGGGGGGTGGAAAGAGAGAGAGAAGAGAGAGAGGGAGAGGAGACTGAAAAGCGCTGTCTCAGCGGGGAGCCAAGCCAGAGAGAAAAAGGCTTCTCTGAGAACGGAGCAGCAACATCTCGCCAAACCGAGAGGCTCCCTTCATCTACATGCAGAGTCACACAAGGCATTGGATACTCGGGAACCCCATGGAGGTTTCACATGTGGTTCCCTGCTGGTTCCTCTGAAAAAGCTAACAATTGGGCTGGGAGGGTGAAAGCCCCTTGCGGTATCTCTCCCCACCCCCTTCCCAACTTCCCCCAAAGCCGTCCTTAAGCTGGACAGACAATTTGGTCAGTGTTATAAGAAGTCCGGTGGACTCTTATTTTGGGGGGGGGCGTGCTCCCTATAAAGGCTTGCTTAAGACTTCTTCCCCAGTTTTTCCCCTGCACGATTTCCACAGGGAGGCAGAGGGAAGAAACGAGGATTGGCTTCCTTGCGTTACTCCAAAGTTTTAGCGCAGCGACAGTCCATCTATGGACCTTGGAGATGCCAATGGTGTCGTCATCGTCGTCCGCCCCCCCGCGCCCGCAAAGCTGCATTTGCATGCATCTTTGGAAAACTAAACAAAAACTGTGTTAGGTCCGGCCTTTAACTGCTTCCTTTCCGCAGGGCCCGCTCACTTTAAATTCTGCTGCGGTCCTTGCAGTTAAAGTGACCCTGCAGTCCCTTGCAAGAGACTTGCGGGCTTCTGCGTCTGAAAAAGCGACGCTCTCTAGACCTGTGTTTTTAAAATAAGCTGTTGCCAGGACATCTAAAGTTCTGCAGAAGCTGTCCCCCGGTTGAAACGCCGGCCTCAGCATTCAGCGCATAGACGTTGCCGACGAACTTGCAATCCTGTTCGGAATTTTATTGGACCCCCTGTGAAATCTAGAAACCCATATTGGAATGCCAAAAGCAAAAAAAGAAGCTAAAGCGTGCTATAATGGTATTCCCCCCCCCCCGGTGTTTCCACTCGTGTTTCAAAACTATTGAAACCCAGATGGGACATGTTAATTGGCTCAACGCTCCTAGGTCCCTGTTTAATACATCATTTCTGTTTATTTATTCCGCCAGTACTTATAGTAATTTAGCTGCCGCAGTAGTATGAAGCGTTGCTCCTCAGAATTATTTCCAGTACTTTTTGGCCTCTTCCTAAGACCACCAACGATAAATAAAGTCACCTGTTCTCCTTCCAACATAAGCTTGAACAGTCCGCGTTAACCTTAGCTGCCATCACTTTCCCCACAGTTTCCCCCACAGAGTAGATGCAACTGTAAAAGTTATTGTTTTTGTGCAGCTAGATTTGTTATATTTAGGGTAATGCTGCCTTGGATTTTTAAATCGGTAAATATTCCAAACTAGAAAGTGTTCCAGCTTGCCCCAGGCCACTTCCTGTCCAATCACTTGAAAAGCAAACTCTCTAATTAGAAGATACTTTTAAAAGGGGGGGGGGAGGGAAAGCAGGTTGGGTTGGGGGGAGCCAATTTCTTCCAGCCCTGTCGCAACTAATTTGATCCTCTTTAACCCAGTCCGTACAGAAGGTAGTACCGCATTCTACCGAGTTCTTTGTGATTTTGTATTTGTATTTTTATGTCCAGAGGAAGGGCTGTATAAAAGTTCTGCAAATGATGATTAAGAATAATACTCTTGACACCAGTGTCTTGGGTTGAAATCTAGACCCCCAGCGTGTAAAGGGCAATGGGAGATACGCTAACGTAAAAGGTTTTCCTGCATTTATCCCAAATCTATAGCCTGGTCACAATTTCTGCATAAACTGCTGTGGCTTACTTATGGAGGAGCAGAGGGCAAATCTCAGCAGAGCATTTAGGACATGGGTAGGCAAACTGACGCGGGTGGCGCTGTGGGTAAAAGCCTCAGCGCCTAGGGCTTGCCGATCGAGGTGCGCTCCCGTTGTTTGGTCCCAGCGCCTGCCAACCTAGCAGTTCGAAAGCACTCCCGGGTGCAAGTAGATAAATAGGGACCGCTTACTAGCGGGAAGGTAAACGGCGTTTCCGTGTGCGGCTCTGGCTCGCCAGAGCAGCAATGTCACGCTGGCCACGTGACCTGGAAGTGTCTGCGGACAGCGCTGGCCCCCGGCCTCTTAAGTGAGATGGGCGCACAACCCTAGAGTCTGGCAAGACTGGCCCGTACAGGCAGGGGTACCTTAGGCAAACTGAGGCCCGGGGGCCGGATGCGGCCCAATCGCCCTCTCAATCCGGCTCATTTTTACATGAGTAGAATGTGTCCTTTTAATTAAAAGGCATCTCTGGGTTCTTTGTGGAGCATAGGAATCCCCCCCCCAAATATAGTCTGCCCCCCCCCCAACGTCTAAGGGAAAGTAGACTGGCCCCCTGCTGAAAAAGTTTGCTGACCCCTGATTTAGGAGAATTTGTTGTTGTTTAGTCATTTAGTCGTGTCCGACTCTTTGTGACCCCCTGGACCAGAGCACGCCAGGCACTCCTGTCTTCCACTGCCTCCCGCAGTTTGGTCAAACTCATGCTGGTAGCTTCGCGAACACTATCCAACCATCTCGTCCTCTGTCGTCCCCTTCTCCTTGGGCCCTCCATCTTTCCCAACATCAGGGTCTTTTCCAGGGAGTCTTCTCTTCTCATGAGGTGGCCAAAGTATTGGAGCCTCAGCTTCAGGATCTGTCCTTCCAGTGAGCACTCAGGGCTGATTTCCTTCAGAATGGAGAGGTTTGATCTTCTTGCAGTCCATGGGACTCTCAAGAGTCTCCTCCAGCACCATAATTCAAAAGCATCAATTCTTCGGCGATCAGCCTTCTTTAGGACAACTGTGCCACACTTAAAATCTGATCATTAGGGTTGATTTTTTTTGTCTAGAGGCAAGCACAGGTTTGAGAACCCTACACTTTTTTGCCATAAATTGGCTCCTGTGATTCACAGGAAAGTACAGGAAGGCAAAAGGAAGTTGTATAACTACCCCCTGCCCTGCTGTTTCCCCTGCCTTGATGAAACATGTACTGTATGCTCCTGAAAGTTGCTTAGCCCCCTCCAACTGCCTCTCACCTCTCTCCCAAAGATTGCACCTACTGTTTGGCAGCAAAGGCTGCTGGCTGAGGTTCCCAGTTCTTTATCCCCAAAGGTTTAGATTGGCTCCTTCATTTCACGGTTTTTTGTTTTGTGGGGGAAGAGGCTTACGATCCTGTGCGAGTTGGACCACAGAGCAGTTCTCATAATGTAATGTTTTATTGAGCACGTTCCCCGTTCGGATGGAGGGCGTGCCTAACAACCCACTCTCGACATTTTTCAGCAAGCGTTTGATAATCCAGCTCACCAGTGGGCACGTTTAAACTCTGCGACCTTCCTTCCCGCTGGCACCGCTGTATCATTTTATGGGTGGGCTCCATCTCTCGTCGCAGTGATCTCTTTTTATGGCTTTCTGCTTTTCAGCAAGGCTGTTTCTCATTCGGATGTTTCCCCATTATTCTGGATTTATAATGGGGAGGAGAACTTGCCAAAGCAGTAGCTTGGGTGCTGGGCTCCTCTTGAGAAACAGGAAGGAAATTGATTTGTGAGAAGGTGGTACTTCTTTCTTTTTTATAATATTTTTTATTAATTTTAACATATAAATTATAAAATGTACCACAAAACTTATCAATTATACAATCGTTTTAGACTTCCATCAGCACCTCTGATGATCTACCGTTTTAACCACTTCTTATGCATTTCTTAACTTTATATTGCCTTTACATCTCTTAACAAATCATCCCCCCCCTTGTCCATTTTTACAATACTTCTAATAATACTCCTCACAAAACTTCTTGCAACCCTACAAACGTTGTCTGTTCTTCACAATTACTTTTCAAATAGTCCGTAAATTTACTCCAGTCTTCCTGTGAATTTCTGGTCTCGCCAGTTTTGAATCCTTCCTGTTAGTTTATCTAATTCTGCATAGTCCGTTAACTTCATCCTCTAGTCTTCAATCATCGGTAACTCTTCTTGCTTCCATTTTTGGGCCAATAATATTCTTGCTGCTGTTATTGCATATAAAAAGAGCTTACATTCCTTTCTATTTATGTCACTCCCCACAATGCCCAATAAAAATGCTTCTGGTTTCTTTATAAATGTATATTTCAACATTTTTTTCAACTCCTTATATATCATCTCCCAGAAGCATTTCACCTTTTTACATTCCTACCACATGTGATAAAATGTTCCCTCTTTTTCTTTAGATTTCCAACATTTATTACTGACTTTATACATTTTCGCTAACTTAACAGGTGTAATATACCATCTATACATCATTTTCATCACATTTTCTTTTAGGGCATTGCATGCAGTAAATTTTAAACCGAGAAGGTGGCACTTCTTTCATTACTTACTGGGTTCCCTTCGAGATCTTTCTAGCAGAGGCACGGACTTCTCTTGGGTTATGGATTATGATCTCCTACTTAGTCCTCTAAATGTCTCACCGGGGGGAAAGTAGATGTGTTTCAGAATCAGGAACTGATAGAGTTTAGAGCAAAGCTTCAGCATTTTTAGCCCTTTGTGTGTGCTAGGTCCCAGTCTCTGGTTTTTCTGCGCAAGAACAACCATTATTTTGTATTTCTGTGGCTGTTGGGGAGGCTCATAGGCAACAGAGTGCGGCCACTTTTCTCACTATTAAAGGTTAATACAAGCTGCGCTACAAGCATACATAGGCTGTATGGAAATGTTCAGTGAAGAGCAGTTTCAAAATACTGGGAAATAAATGTAAATAAACACAAACTATGGCTGGGTGGTTGTTGTCTTCATATCCATCCTCCTTTGTAGGTCTCTGGTGGGCTCCTATTAGAATTGGAAGTCTAGGTCATTTATTACTATTACAGTGGTGCCCCGCAAGACGAATGCCTCGCAAGACAAAAAACCCACTAGACGAAAGGGTTTTCCGTTTTTGAGTTGCTTCGCAAGACGATTTTCCCTATGGGCTTGCTTCGCAAGATGGAAACGTCTTGCAAGTCTTGCGATTTTTTTCGCTCCCCCCCTTTTTCTAAGCCGCTAAGCCGCTAATAGCCTTTTAGCCGCTAAGCTGCTAAGCCTTTAATAGCCGCTAAACCGCTAATAGCGCTAATCCGCTAATCTGCTAATAGGGTTGCTTTGCAAGACGAAAAAACCGCTAGACGAAGAGACTCGCGGAACGGATTATTTTCGTCTTGCGAGGCACCACTGTACTAATAACAAAAAAGTTTAATAATAATAATAATAATAATAATAATAATAATAATAATAATAATGAATAATTGCATTTGTTAGTTGGGGTTTACCAAAAGGTCTCAAAGATACTTAGCAAGATAAAATGCAACAGTTGGAAACTTAAAAGCAGGAAAATTTAAAACTATGTATAATGCTAAATGTCTAAAACGCCTATCTGGTAATACAGTAACAATGACTTCCTCTTATGAATTTTTTTCCTTCTCTCTCCTTGTGCTCTTTTTAAATGCACAGGGTCGTAAGCTCTTGATCATTGGGACCACCAGTCGCAAGGATGTCCTGCAGGAGATGGAGATGCTGGATGCTTTCAGCACAACTATCCATGTTCCCAATATTGCTACAGGAGACCATCTCATGGAAGCCCTCGAGGTCAGGAGGCACTTGGGAATGGCTGGGGAAGGGAGCTGAGGGAGGAGCTCAATTTCTTTGGGGCTGTAGGAATGGGAAGATCTGGGCAAGCTGGGAAGTTGAGTCCCTGGCTACTGCCTGCAATGGGCCCAAAAACCTATTGTGGAGGTTGGCTTGAACATCTCCCATCATGGTCTGGTTGGGTAAACCATCACCTGAACCATTACCAGATGTTTTCAGGGCATTTACTTGGCCATATTTGTTAATGCCCAATCTTCCAGCCCTGGGACTGTTTTTGCTTCGTGATCTGCCATTGTACATGAGTCTCCAGGCTGCCCCCACCCCAAAGGTCCAAGCTGGTTTTGCAAAATATTGGAGAACTGTGCTATATAATGCCACAGCTCTGGAACCTGGGGGTGGGGGGAAGGAATCGATAAATCAGCTTTGCTACTACTTGTAAAGGAATGTCAATCTCTGAGTTATATGAATATAAGGAGACGTGGAAGACAAGCTTAGGCACCGGGTTTATATAACCTGAAATGAAACTGTTAAGAATGGAACAATGAGTACTAGGACTGTGACTTTTAATCAATTAATTGATGGCAGAATAAAAAGTGTCCTTAATTAGTAAATCAGCATTCAGATGTACATGATCTTTAAATATAAGTACCATATTTTTTGCTCTATAAGACTCACCTTTTCCCTCCTAAAAAGTAAGGGGAAATGTGTGTGCGTCTTATGGAGCGAATGCAGGCTGCGCAGCTATCCCAGAAGCCAGAACAGCAAGAGGGATTGCTGCTTTCACTGTGCAGCGATCCCTCTTGCTGTTCTGGCTTCTGAGATTCAGAATTTTTTTCCTCTTGTTTTCCTCCTCCAAAAACTAGGTGCGTCTTGTGGTCTGGTGCGTCTTATAGAGCGAAAAATATGGTACTTATAAAAACTGTGGGTGACACACTCAAAATTTTAAGAAGCATGTCCCTTATATAGCAAACAGAGCCCTTGTCCTTTACAGTTTACTTCCAAGTTCTGGGTCCTCGCTGCGGAATCTGGAATCATTTGCTGTTTTGTTTCGGTTTTTAGAAAAAAGCAACCCTTCCCCTCAAAAACCCACTCCTGTTCATCTGCAGGATTATGCGTAGACTCTCCAGGTAGTCTTCTAAGGACTACATACCACGATGGGCATTCTGCAGTAATAAATCTGTTCAATTTAATGCGAGCACCTAAGGGAGAGTACAGAAACTCCCCCCCCCCAGGTCACCCGCTGAATCTGTGGAGTGAAAAATTGTGGGGAGCAGAGGCACAGCTCCTGTACTCGTAGCTGTGGGAGTGGCTAGTGGCCTCGATTCTTCTGCAACACACAGTCCCGTTCCCCCCAAATTTCTTTGCTCTGCTCTGTTCCTGGGAGCTGCTTTGGTCTGTGAGGAAGTTGTAAATATTAAGAGGCAAGCTGGTTAACCTTTGGCATGCGGATTGCACTGAAAGAAGTTCCTGTTTCAGGGGCTGGAGAGGAGCTTCCTTGTGACCCAGGTCCTCTTCTTTTCCCACCTGATGTTGTACTGGGCCAATTTCCCTGCCTTTATGGCTTGTGTGATCCGATACGTGGGTGGCGCTGTGGGTTAAACCACAGAGCCTAGGACTTGCCGATTAGAAGGTCGGCGGTTCGAATCCCGCAACGGGGTGAGCTCCCATTGCTCGGTCCCTGCTCCTGCCAACCTAGCAGTTTGAAAGCACGTCAAAGTGCAAGTAGATAAATAGGTACCACTCCAGCGGGAAGGTAAACGGCGTTTCCGTGCGCTGCTCTGGTTCGCCAGAAGCAGCTTAGTCATGGTGGCCACATGACCAGGAAGCTGTACGCCGGCTCCCTCGGCCAATAAAGCGAGATGAGCGCCGCAACACCAGAGTTGGCCACGACTGAATGGTCAGGGGTCCCTTTACCTTTACCTATGGCTTGTGTGATCCGATACCTGTGCGCTTGATCAGTAGACAGATCCTTTACGACATTGCCACTCAGTGAAGTAAGAGTCTCTGCGATGGAGAGTGGCATGGAGGATCAATTTCAAGTTCTGTATCAGTGTGTAGCATCTTGCCAATGTTACCTGTCTTATTTGCTTGTTGGAGAAGGTCTTCCATTGAGTGCTTTTCTTAACACAGCCGGCTTCTCTCTTCTGTCCCCTTGCAGCTCCTGGGCAGCTTTAAAGACAAGGAACGCTCCACCATTGCCCAGAACGTCAAAGGGAGGAAGGTCTGGATTGGGATCAAGAAGCTTCTGATGTTGATTGAGATGTCAATGCAGGTAAGATGCCTTGCCCTCTGGTCAAGCCAGAGTCTGGAACTGGATTAGCTGTGGGGTAATAAGACACCCACTTGGTTTTGCCTCTCTCAACTCCCAGGGGCTCAAAGCTCTTGACAACCTAAACACCCGCACATTAAAATGTCAGTAATGATTAGGCTAAAAAAAAAACAAAACATCTACTGCAGGGTTTGCTTCCTAGCTACGATTTAACAGTTCAAAAACTACAGACCCTATCCCAAGAACTTGTCATCTAGTCTGTGTATATTTATCTTCGCTGCAAATTAGATGGGCAAATTGACCACGGGGGACAGGCCGGATTTGCCCCTCCCTGGCGTTTGTCTGTAGCATCGGAAAAGGAAGATTTCCTTAGCGGGTTTTTAGCTCTCTTGTTGTAGCATTTCGAAAGCAGCTGGAGCCGCAGCTAGACGACTGCTTTGTAAAATAATAACTTGCGTGAAAAGGCCGGTATCCAAATTAATGCGCAAGGATTGCTGCTTGTACAGTAGGACTCTCCCCTGCCCACCCCCCCACCCCACTTCAAATCTGCTCTGGAGGGCGGGGGGAACCCCTAGAGAAGATCTACAGGGGCAGTTCTGTTGCCCAAGCAAAACTCCTTGCATTGATGGACCAGGTTACTTAGCACTACTTTGGATAAAACACAAATTGTTTTCCCTCCCCGTCACTAGATATATACAGTGGTACCTCAAGTTACAAACGCCTCAGGTTACAAACTCCACTAACCTGGAAGAGTTACCTCGAGTTGAGAACTTTGCCCCAGGATGAGAACGGAAATCATGTGCTGGCGGCACAGCAGCAGCAAGAGGCCGCATTAGTGAAAGCACGTCTCAGGTTAAGAACAGTTTCAGGTTAAGAACGGACCTCCGGAACGAATTAAGTTTGTAACTAGAGGTACCACTATATGTAAGATGGGGAACCTGTGACTCTCCCAATGTGGCTGGATTTCAGCTCCCATCAGCCCCAGCTGACGTAACCAATGTTCTGGGCTAACATCTGTAGGGCTGCAGGTTCCCCAACTCTGATAAGTATCAGCAGAGGATAGGAACACCGATGGCTACTTTAACAACAGCTGGATGGAATTGTTCATATATAGAAGCACTATGCTTTTGGATGTTGCAGGCAAACAGGGAAAGGCTATCCATCATCGCCAAATTTAGCCACAGTTGGAGTTCAGAATATTGAACTTTGGCCTGGCCCAGCAAGCAGTTCTTACTTGGGGTTCAGTGATAAAGCTTGCCCTTTTGCACACATTCAATTTCATTCCACTTTTAATCTGTATGCCGCCTTTCGATATTGCAAGGTGCTTTGCAAGCTGAAGAAACAGCTTAAATAGACAGCAAAGATCACACACCTAATGACAATCTGATCCGATACGGAAAAGTCATAATTTCAGGTTCACACCTTGGCTTCTCCGGCTGAGGGATCTCTGGCAGCAGGGAAAGATCTCTGCTTGCAGCTCTGCAGCTTGCTGGAGCCAACAAACCTGGGTGTGATGGACCAGTAGCTTCCTGTGTTTATATTCTCGCTGTGTACAGCACCATCCCCGGTCTGAGTCTTTTGCAGACTCCCAGGAATTGTGCTTTTTTGCCTTCTGCTCCAACTTTGATGGGAGCTCACAGGGGAGGCTATCCCTGTGTATGGTGCCCTCCGTCATCTGCGGGCAATGCCTCTTCACTCTCCTGGGACCGGGCCCTGTCTTCAGGTGCGGCTAAATGAAGAGATTCCTTGCACCTTCCTGGGACAGGCTTCCCGGCGCAAGCCAAGAGGCAAGCAGTTCGGCAATGTGTTAAGCCCGTCCCCCGCCCCTTCCCTCCCGTGTGGCTCGTTCTCTGCGATTCTGTTGAAACTTGCACAGGGCTGGGGATCTGCTCTGACTGGATGTCACCCGAGGGTACAGAGTCATTTATCTAGATTACTTTTCCCTCTCTCTCTTCCCCTTGACTCTTTAATTCCATACCCGCAGGCAAAAGTCAGTAAGTTATTGCTCACACCTATTAAAGTGTATATAATGGGCAGAGATCTGCAAGGTTACGGCCAATTTCACCCTTTTCGGGGCGCTTTTTAAAGTTGGATTAGAATTGTGGACGTGCATCCAAAAACATATTTATCTTTTGGCAGTGGGGTGGCGGGCGGCAGGAAGTTTGAGGTCCGGGGACAGTGGTATCGTGAGAGAAGAAGGGGTCTGAATGAAGGCAGGAGCCGGAGTCAAATTGTATCGCACGTTCCTTGCAACTGCGATTTCCTAGTGGTGGAGGTGTTTATTCCTGGAAGGCAGGTGGCCTTTGACTTTCCCTGCTACTCCTAGAATACCATATTTTTCGCCCTATAGGGCGCACTGGCCCATAGGTCGCACCTAGTTTGGGGGGGGGGGAATAAAGGGAAAAAATTTATTTCGCCCCCAGGCGCGGGGCTGGGGAGGGGAAGCCCGCCGGGCTCCCAAGGCTTGCAGAGAGCTGCCCAAAGCCCGGGGTGCGCTCCGCTGCGCTCCCCAGGTTTCGGGCTGCAGGCTGCTGTCCGCAAGCCTTGGGAGCCCAGCGGGAAGTTGCGCCGGGCTCCCAAGGCTTGTGGAGAGCTTCCTTGCTCTTCAGGCTTCAGCGAAAGCCTGCATTCGCCCCATAGGACACACACACATTTCCCCTTCATTTTTGGAGGGGAAAAGTGCGTCCTATAGGGCGAAAAATACGGTATGTTCAGAAACCTGAGTGTGATGCTTTCAATGAGGTAGCATGCTGTAGTCCAAAACTCGACTTGAAACAAGACCAAATTAAGCTTCCACCCCTGTGGTTGGGATATTTTTGAGGGGCTTTAGGGGACAGAGAAAGAAGCATGCTTTTTTCTGCACTGACAAGAAGGAGGAAAGTGGATTTATTATTTTTTTGTGCCACAGCTGGTGGCTCAGGAGCCAAAATAACTCACATAGTAGGTGATATCAATGGTCCATCCAGTTTGCCATTGCTTCTTCTGCCCCTGCCCAGCCAGATGACCCAGGAAACTTCATAAACTGAGCCTGACGGCAACATTGTCCTATTTTGGGGTATTCCCCACCAGTGAAGAGTTGAGTGCATCTCCAAAAAAGAGTGACTACTTTGAGGTGTTTAGTAGGTTCTCTCCCACCTCATTCTCCTTCGCCACAGACTTGGGGTTGGTATTCTGAGAAACGAGAGTAGCAAAATGCTTCAACTCAAATCGCAGGATCCGATGGGCTCCCAAGGACTGGAACAATCTGTTTTTGAAAGCTCCCCCAGCTTCAAAAACATGTTAAAGGACTGGTGGTAATGGGGGTGAGCACCGCAATTTAAAAAACTGGGTGCCCCAAGTCCTCTCGGGCAAGTGGAACTGGTTTTGTGGCTCTTTGCACGCTGGCCATAATATCGTCTACAAATTGGTTTATCAGAAAAAGCCATTGACTACTATCCTGCCTGCTCATCACCTCCCATAAGTTGCTTGCATTAAAATGTGGCTTCTAAATAATCCCACAACCAATCTAGAATTTCATATCTGGGTCAGAATTTTAGACCCCAAATTTATAGCACTATAAGCATGGGAATTTAATGTGAACACTTTTTTTTTTTTTAAAGATCACCTACAGATGTTAGATTCCTTACATTTTCCCAAAGTGGAAAATTAGAAAACTTTTTAAATAGGTTGTTGCAAGAACCCCTTGGATTAGTTTGAGGGTGTTAATGGGGGGGGCGCGTCCCCTCATGCTAAGTTTCCCCCCTCCTCACTGGGGTGCAAAAATTCAGTCACTTACTGGCACCTAAAAAAAAGTGGGTCTGATCAACTGGGTTTTTGAAGGAGGCTGCAGCCCTTTGAAATGTTGATGTGTTAAAGGCTCATTCAGAAGCGTTCAGCATTATTTGTAAGGGGCTACTTGCTTTCCACTGACAAAACCCAGGTTTAGTAGGGATTCCCTGCAGACTCCATATTTGAGGGGAATTTGAAAAATCTCACCTCACGCCTTCCCTTCCTTTGTCTTTCAAGGTTTGCCATGCGTTGCCTCCACACTTCTCAGGCCTTTCAGCATCTCGGGCTGCTAAATTGTGCCCTGTGCAAATTTCCAGGCTTGTGCAAAGAACCGCAGGATACAAACTTGAGTTTCAAGAGAGGCAGTGCAGTGTAACGGTTATAGTGTTCAGCTAGAACCAGGGTAAGGTAAAAGGTAAAAGATCCCTGCGACGGGGTGAGCTCCCGTTGCTCTGTCCCAGCTCCTGCCAACCTAGCAGTTCGAAAGCACACCAGTGCAAGTAGATAAATAGGTACCACTTCGGCGGGGAGGTAAACGGTGTTTCCATGCGCTCTGGCTTCCATCATGTCCCGTTGCTCCAGAAGCAGTTTAGTCCTGCTGGCCACATGACCTGGAAAGCTGTCTGTGGACAAACACCGGCTCCCTTGGCCTGAAAGCGAGATGAGCGCTGTAACCCCATAGTCACCTTTGACTGGACTTAACCGTCCAGGGGTCCTTTTTTTAAACCAAGAACCAGGGAGTCCCAAGTTCAAAGTCCCACTCAGCTATGAGTGGCTTTGGGTTGAATCATTGCCTCACAATCTTACCTACCTTACAGGGCTGTTGTGAGGATGAAATAAGTGTGTGTGTATACGACCACAGTCTTGAGCTCATGGAAGAAGGAAGATAGAAGCCTAAGAATAAATAATAAGACAGTTTTGAGTTGGTTTAGCCCCGACTGCCCTCACCTGCTCCTTGTCCCTTCAGCAAGGTGAGCTTGCTGTGGTTCACTGGTTGATTTTGTCTCTCTTTGTGTCTTCCCTTTGAACTTGCGAAGATGGATCCCGAGTACCGCGTGCGAAAATTCCTGGCACTTCTAAGAGAAGAAGGAGCGTAAGTGACAGTAAGAGCATCTGACAGGGGTGTGTCCGCTTATTCTTGCCTAATCTGCCTGCATGCTTAATAACTCGCCATGTGCCATTGGCCCAGGCCAAAATATTAGCAAGAGTCCTTTTTGTAAACCTTGGTTTTACAAAAAGAAAAAAGGTTCATCTTCGGCCTTGGTGGCTGTTTAAATTACTCCATTCCTGCTTCATCCTACTTTCGAGGTTTGGGGTTTTTCTTCTTATTTCAACATTTTGCTTATTCACCAGCGACATGAGTGTGTGCGAAAATGTGTTGCATCCATTTGTGTGTGTGTGTGTGTGTGTTCGTGTAAAAAGGGAGGGAGTTTTGTGGCTCAAGCTTGCATAGGAACCATATTATTATTATTCATATGTGTATACCACCCTATACCCGCAAGCCTCAGGGTGGTCACAGCATGAAATCACAGTATAAAAAATTTATACGATCTCTGCTGCAGGTACCTAACTGCGTCCCCAACTCCGTACTTCTGTTGGAAGCTGGTGAATGCCCAATTTCAGCTAGAGCGTGGTGGGCTGCCCTAAGACATTGGCTCAGGATTTCAGTGTTTAATCTAGGGAAGGGTCTGTACCAACATTTGACCAATGAGGAATTTGTCAGCAAATGGCAGAAAACCATGGCTAAAAAAGCCACCTCTATTGGTCTGTCTCCCCCCCAACTGTATTACCTGGGCTATGAAGGCGCCCAAAAGGTTTTAAAGCAAAGATTATGGGACAATGCACACAGTGACTTGCGATCTCGGTCACACGCAGTCTGTGGTCCACTGGCAGCAGGAGTTCAATATGGGTATGTCTTTGAGTTAACATCTTACATCAAAAACCTGACAGTACCTAACTATCGAAGGCTTTTCACCAAGGCCAGACTGAATGTCTTCCCCTCTGCAGTGCTGGATGGTAGGTTGAGAGGAGTTCCCTACCAGGACAGACTTTGCTCGTGTGCTCAAGACATCGATTCCATAAATCATATTTTGTTACATTGTGCGAAGTATGAGCAGGCCAGGGCTGAACTGATACTACCCTTGCTGGTGCCTTTCCCGGGAAAGTCAGAGGCTCACTATGTCAGGTTCCTACTGGAAGACCGGACAAAAGCTAGAACGTTGGCAGTGGCAAAGTTTTTATCGGTGGTTGCAAGAACAAATGAGCCCTATATTCCAAACAAAGTGCTTGATTAACCTGGAGGTAGGCTGTATGAACTCTGTATTGATTTGTAATGTTTTGTTGGTCTCTGGACCGTAATAAAGATTGTTGTTGTATAAAAACAAACAATACATAATAAAAACAAAAACAAGAATAACCCAATAATTCCCTCCTCTCCAACACATTTTAAAAGGCCATTGGATGTCAGTCAGCCCAAGGCCCAGTTGAAGAGAAACGTTTTCGCCTGGCACCTGAAGGTGTATATTGAAAGCGCCCGGCAAACCTCCCTGGGGAGAGCATTCCACAAATGGGGAGCCACTGCATAGAAGGCCCCGTTCTTGTTGCCACCCTCCAGACCTCTCAAGGAGGAGGCACACGAAGGAGGGCCTCAGAAGATGATCTCGGGGTCCGGGTAGGTTCATATGGAGAGAGGCAGTCCTGGAGGTATTGCAGTCCTGAGCCGCTTAAGGCTTTGTAGGTCAAAACCAGCTCTTTGATTGGGCCCGGAAGCTGATAGGCGTGTCATTTATCCTTTCTGTATAGCCATACTTTCTGACCCCCACAAAGCCCCTTGCTTTCATACTTTTTTTGGCCTGGCTTTGACATCATTGTGAGGGAAAGCGCTCTGAGCATGAGCGGCTAAGAGCAGCTGATGTACTGCCTTGTAACCAAACCCCTGGCCACTAATCTGGGTCTCCAGCAAGCTGAAACTCAAGATTAAATGCCGCGAGCTGAGCAGCGTGTTGCAAAAAAAACAAAAAACCAGCACCGTTCCTCCTGCTCTGATCTGTTTCAGATTGCAGTTGTGTGGGGGAGGGTTGTGTTCAGACCCCCTGCATGTAGAAAAGCAGCACACCAAGGAGGAAGCGAAACTAGACCCTTTCCTCCGTTACATGGAGGGAGGTTCTGATGGAGGGGAATTTACAATCATGCCTGTTCCCTCCCTATGAAGATGTGCACACCCAGATGGCGGTACCGCATGGATATTTTTGAACGTGTTGGGCTCTGGAGCCATTTCTCTTCCGGGCCGGCGAGTCTATAGATTTAGCTCTTCCACAGCGTCACAGCAGAAGTGGTGATGCCTGGAAGAGCTCCCATAAGGAGCTAGGAGAGAGGTGTAGGCAATTCATTCACACGCAGCTTTGTGGGTTCAAGGGAGGAGTTTCCGCGGACCCCTGGTTTAGATCTGGACCCAATTCTGTACCTCTCCGGGGTGAGATAACGTGAGGGAGATTCTGCTAAAGGCAGCATATGGGTCGCCTGCTTTGGGGCTGTGCTGTTTCCCCATAGCCTGCTCCAGTGCCGAGCGATAGCCCGCTGAACCTCTTTCTTTTTGCAGCTTGGAGGATTAATGCCTGATGCACGGCCATCTTTGTGACTCCGCATGCGCTTCCCATCTCTGGATGCCCAGCTGTGTGTGCCACTCACCACCCCTCCCCCAAGATATGCCCGCCCTTTGTGGAACCGGTTGCCCTCTTTTTCTTTGCAGCAGCCCGCTGGACTAAGAGGGAAGCCTTGGGGCAGAAGCCGGTGGCTGGGGAAGAAGCCAAGCGAGAGCCCACCTCCTCCAGGACCTCCTTCTCCTCCTCCTCCTCCTCCTCTTCCGTGTGGTGTGTCTGGACAAGAGCCTAACGTTCGGCCTCCTTCAGAGACTCCCCTCACCCCTCCTCTTTGCATGTCGGACGCAGCCGAACACTCCGCCCTTTGTTATCTATCGTCCTCGATATCCTGGTGTCTCGTGGCAAATCAAAACTCTCTATCTAGAGTAACTGCTTTTGTATTATGCTGCCTGCCGCACCTGCTCACTTGGTTTTGGCGCACAGGGGGGAGGGAAATGAACGTGCCCCATGCAGGCCTGTCCGTGTTAACGCGCAATCTGGCGGTAGCCCCTAAGGCCCCAAACACAGGGAAGTCCTCCTCATTCCAGACCCGTGTATGGTCTTCCTTAAAGCTGCTGGTATCCCCAAGTTCCTCCTTTCTCCCACACATTCACACAAGCGGTTTGGTCCTCGTGGGCCAATACTGCGCTGCGGAGCTTCAGACTCGTCCCAGGGGGAAACGGTGAATGAAGTATTCATCACAAGACCAGGATCCAGAGAGAGTTTTTAGGAAAGAGGGGCAATGGTGGCTGCACCCTTCCCTTCAGAGGCTCGACAACATTTGCAGTGGCGGCTAGTTAATTCCCAGTGGCTATTGGCCACCGGGCATGGACTCTGGACACCCAGCCGGACTTTGGTGCACTAAAGCAGGGGTAGACAGCGCAGGGCTACCCCGATGCTGTTGGACTTCAGCTCCCATCATCCCTGACCCTTGACCATGCCGGCTGGGGCTGATGGAATTTGTAGTCCCCCACCCCACCCGCATGGGCTATCCCTTCACTAATGGTTTCCTATAAAACAGGCAGCGTGGTCCCACCCGTAGATGCAGACAGCTTAGTATTCCTGCAAAAGTTTGAAAACAGCCTGCAGCTTTCTGTTGCGGTGCCCTTCCTCACTGGAGTCTGGCCCCTTGTGATGTCCCGCAGATCTGTCGCAGGAGGCCTGGTGTGCAGTTTCCTCCGTATGCGGTTGCCACAGGCATGAGCGCATAGCGATCTTCCCAGGTGGCTGTCAGAGACCTTGGTCTCTGCTGTCGGCTTCTTGCTTTTCAGCGTAGCGGCATCACAAAGGCGGAAAGCTGTTACGCTTCTTCCAGAGAGGCTTCCTTTGCTGTGCTCTGCAATAGTGAACCAATAGTCCCATTTGCTCTTGGGAAACCACCAAGCAATGTTTATGTTAGAGCCGGATTAGTTGTTCCACCTATCGCCACCGCCCGGCTGCGTTTTATTGCAGAACTTGTCACCTGGATGAAGTTTCCCCGCCATATCGGCAGCAATTGCCCAGCCGATTTGGGAGTGAGAAAACTACACGAGAGGGGCGCACATGCACATAGTACCGAGTTCTGCTAAGCCCATAGGGACAGGAGGGTAGGAAATTAATTACGGAGGTTCTGCTTCCTCTCAATCAGCTCTTAACACTCCTCTGTAGAAATACAGATGGTTTAATGGCCCTGAATAATCTTCCTCCACCTCATCCACAACACAAGCGAGTGGCTGGACCGACCTTCCGTCTTGCTGAAACCCCCCTATATATCACTGACGGGGTCCTCATTCCCCACCTCTCCCAAGTTGCTACAATCAGGCAGCTGAAAACTACACTTGACTCCTTTCCGCCCTGTGCAGCAAAAGGAAATCAGTTGTGTTAGAAGTTGCTGCAATGTACTTCAATCACAATGGATGCATTTATTATAACGTGGGTTAGCAGCTTTATCCTCTTTTTTAGTTTCACACCCCCCCTTTTTTTTTAGTGTTGAGGATTATGTGAATCGCTGGTGGAGCTGTGAAATCCCCTCTTCAGTTGTGCGATTGCTCTGTTTCCAGCTGCACCTTTGCCCCCCCCCCGGCCCAAATCTCAAGAACCTTCTCCTTTCTCCACCTTCTTTCATCTTCCAGCGAAAGGGAAACACACATGTTGTATTTAATGTAATGTCTTGGAACCAAATGATGTAAAACATTTTTATTGTGGGTTTTTCTTCTTCTTTTTTGTCCAAAGCTATATTCACAGAGAGAGAGAAAAATACAAATATATATGTATATATCGATTGATTGTATGTTTAAAACGCAGGTGAACTGATGCAATAAAAAGGCACAGATATTCAGGTGTTTGGGTGGTTTGTGAATGTCCTTGGAATGTCTGCACAATCAAAGACGCAAGCAGTGCCACAGAAATGTTTCAACTAGCTTGTTGCAATGTGAAGCTTTAAAGGCCAGAGCTTCGTTCAGCAGATATGTGGCTTGAGAGTGTCCCTATTTTCACCGGAGAAAAGTTGGAGGGTATGAGAAGCGTATGTGTACAGTCGTACCTTGGAAGTTGAACAGAATCCGTTCCAGAAGTCCTTTCGACTTCCAAAACCAAAATGTGGCTTCTAATTGGCTGCAGGAAGCTCCTGCAGCCAATCGGAAGCCGCAACGGGCGTTCGGCTTCCAAAAATCGTTCGAAAGCTGGAAACACTCACTTCCGGGTTCCGAAAGGCAGCCGATTTGTTTGGGAACCAAGGCGTTCAAGATCCAAGGTACAACCATGTATGGAAGCAGTACCTGGAGGGTACATTCTCAAGGTTGGGTACCACTGATGCCAGAGATGCAGAGGGTCCTGCTTAGTCAACCAGATGAGGAGCAGAAGACCAGGATTCCAGGATTTATACCAGGCCTGACCTTATACACAGGCCTTACACTGCCTGCCAGTTGCAAGTGTTGCTTGCTCCAGTTCCCTTCCATAGCTGAAGAGGGTTCTGCCACCTCAGTATACCCAGTGCCAGGAAGTTTTAGGTTAGGACTCAGAGATTCCCATTTCAAACCCACAAGTCCCAGATTCCTTTCCCCCCCCCTCGCCTTAATGAAAAATCAAATCCACTGCCCCCACTCCTTGCTCTCGTTCCCATTAATAATTCTCCCTTTTAAATATTTCAGAATCAGTGCTCTGTGCCTTTAGAAGTCGAGATAAAAAGAACGGGGAGCTAATAACTCCCGAATTGTAAAAGTCCTCGAGTGCAAATTGCCTCCTCCGTTGTGCCTCGTGGGTTCTGACAGTAGCTTTCTTGTGTCTCTTTTCCCTCATGGAACGAGTAATGACATTTTTAAAAATTTCGATTAACCCTAGGCAGCCAACTCCTCCTTTCCACAGCACTTTCTCTCTCTCTCTCTCTCTCTCTCTCTCTCTCTCTCTCTCACACACACACACACACACACACACACACAGCCTTGCACACTAACACGACAAAAAATATTCCAACAATTTTAAGTTTGCTTTTAAGTGCCTTTAACTTTATTGACTTAAAGAGGACCAAAGAGAGGTGAAATATATTTCTTCTTCTTCAAATATATATAATATATATATATTTATATAATATATAATCTTAGTTAACTCAAAGGTATATATACATTGTATAATAAATAATTATAAAAAGAGCATTTTCTGAATATAACTTTCAAAAAAGGCTGGAAACCCTCTACGGCTTTGTAAAGAACTTTGGATACAGCAGGTTGAGGGGAGGCCGGGGGGGGGGGCGACGACTTAATGTTCCCCAAAAGATGACTGGAATATATAGTTTATTAGTATGCATATGCCTGTACCAGCCCCTTTCTAGTCAAGCATAGTGGATAAGAGATCGAGGGCAGGCTGAGTGACTGCAGGAATGAAACTAGGATATATTTCACCCAGTTTGGTACACACACAGGCTGGGAGCCTCAATGTTGCCCCTCTGGAGGCTTCACCCGGGGCAAAAAAACCTGGCTAGCCCCCCTGTAGCTACCGCACTGCCTCTCTGGAACAGATTCCATTTTTTAATCACAAAAATCAGCCGTGAAGTTAAGCGCGGTTACTGCTAGCCAGGAATCCTCCTAACCAGAATCTTACCATTGACCGCTGATCAGCATTAATGGTAGCTAACAATACTGACCTCTTCCTCAGTTGCGGATCGCAGTTTGCGATGCCATCGCCCGCTCCCAGCTGCTCTCAACTTCAGTGAGAGAACTCCCATGTTAGGTCTACAGCAGCACAGGGGTCTGTTCAGTGTGGGGAATTTTTGCTGCTGAGTAGACAGCGGGCTTAAATACCGTATTTTTTGCTCTATAAGACGCACCAGACCATAAGACACACCTAGTTTTTGGAGGAGGAAAACAAGAAAAAAAATATTCTGAATCTCAGAAGCCAGAACAGCAAGAGGGATCGCTGCGCAGCAAAAGCAGCGATCCCTCTTGCTGTTCTGACTTCTGGGATAGCTGTGCAGCCTGCATTTGCTCCATAAGACGCACACACATTTCCCCTTACTTTTTAGGAGGGAAAAAGTGAGTCTTATAGAGCAAAAAATACGGTATGTACTCTGGCTGGCTTCTGGCTAATGCTATAAATGCCCAGACACTTTGGCTGTGGGTAAAGGTCTATTCAACCAGCAGTGTGGAGATGGCTTTAGGAGGTATGGCAGATGAGAAACTTGAGTGTGTCCCATCTCACAAAAGGTCAATACAGTGGTACCTTGGTTCTCGAACTTAATCCGTTCCGGGAGTCCGTTCGGCTCCCGAAACCATTCAAAAACCAAGGTGTGGCTTCTGATTGGCTGCAGGAGAGTCCTGCAGCCAATTGGAAGTTGCAGAAGCCGCATCGGACTTTCGGCTTCCAGAAAATGTATGCAAACCCGAACACCTACTTCCGGGTTTGTGGCGTTCGGGAGCTGATTTGTTTGACAACTAAGCCGTTCAAGAACCAAGGTACCAGTGTAATGTAAGTCTTTTATGTTGCCAACAAGGACCCTTGCTTCCAAGAACTGGAAGTTCTAGTATCAGCCTGTCCCAGGCTTCAAAAGTGGCCGTTGACAAGCTGGGAAGGATGAATAGGAGAGCTGTGGAAATGATCAAGAAGGTAAAATCCCTGTGAGGAAAGAAATCGTGTCAGTTCAGACCAGGGGAAACGAAGTATTAATGTGGGACAAATCGCTCTTGCATCTTTCCAGTGGTTTAAAAAGAAAAGAAAAAAAATCTCGGAGGATGAATAATTCTTTTCCATCTCCTGCTTGGAGCTATCCAGTAAGTCTGAGGCAGGGAGCTGAAACCTGTGGCACTCCAGATCTTGTTGGACTCCCAACTTCCTTTGGCCCCAGCCAGCATGGCTAGTGGTCAAAGTTGACAGCAGTTGGGAGGTCCTCATCTGCAGAGCCATGGGTTCCCTGCCCCAAAGGCAGTTTGATCTGGTGGTGCTGTTGCAGTCTTTTGGAAACTGGAGAGACTGCTGGAGCAAGAAAAAAAAGAGACATATCTAGGACAAAAAGACATAATAAAAGTGATCCTGATTGACAAGATTTTAAGAGAAACAAGAGGAAAGTATTAGCATGCTTGGGGGACCCCAAGTTGCAGAAGTGTGTGTGTGTGTGGCAACAACCCAGAAGGTAAAGGACCCCTGGCAGTTAAGTCCAGTCGTGGACGACTCTGGGGTTGCGGCGCTCATCTCGTTCTATAGGCCCGAGGGAACTGGCGTTTGTCCATAGAAATTTTTCCGGGTCATGTGGCCAGCATGACTAAGCCACTTCTGGTGCAACGGAACACCGAAACAAGAGCAGCGCACGGAAACACTGTTTACCTTCCTGCCAGAGGGGTACCTATTTATCTACTTGCACTTTGACGTGCTTTTGAACTGCTAGGTTGGCAGGAGCAGGGACCGAGCAACGGGAGCTCACCCCGTGGCGGGGATTCGAACCGCCGACCTTCTGATCGGCAAGCCCAAGAGGCTCAGTGGTTTAGACCACAGCGCCACCCGCGTCCCATCCACAAAAAACCCATCCACAAAAAACCCAACCCATCCCCACCAAAACCCCACAACTTCAGCGACCATGAATGTTGCAGAGAGTTGGAATGCCTTGCTTGAAACTCTGAACTCCTTTTGGGAGAGAGGACACATTGTGATGCGCTGTTACAGACCTCACTTGCTCTAACAGACTCCAGTGATTGATGCTCTCGCCCCAAAATAAGATGGTGGTCTCTCCCGACCCACAGAAATACGTGCATTTGCAAATTAAAAGATAACAGTGTTTCTTAACAGTCTAAAACGCCCGACGGGAACCTGTGAGCATCTTGATGGCAGCTGAGCCTGTAGAGGAAAAAACGTTCTAAAGAAACTGGAAGACTGGGAGGTGATGGGAGTATTCCAATCATGTCTGCTTTTTGAGATGTGGAAGGACAATTGACTAACCCCCCTTCCCCATCAAAAGGGAAAGTATTATGGGATGAGAAGGAAGAAATGACTTGCTCAAACCCCTGACAGCTTTTCGTAAGTATCCTAAAATGGGAAGGGAAGGATAAGAGTTGGGGGGGGGGTACCTATCCCATCTCCAGAACTGTGGACCTTATACCCAGGTTTGGGGAAGACAGCCTTTTAGCATGCTGTAAAGGTAAGCAGGGGTGTGTTTTTCATTGCTTCCTTGCTCCTGAAACTCCACCCACTAACTCTGAGCCTTCACAGCACTACAAGGCTCCCATTCCATTGTCTGGAGCCATGAACAGGAAGAAGCACTTCTCTTAATGGGTGGAGAAATGCAATGTTTCGTTGCAAGTTCCGCTTGTTTCCTCTAATAGCAGATTCAAACAGCCAAGTCCCTTTATCAGTTTGGAAACAAACAAAAAACGAGCAGAAATTTTTACACAGGAAATTCGCTAGGTGTGCAGAAACCCACGTTTGTAAATTTAAAAGCAACGGCCATCAGTCTCCACGAGCTGTTGAGTGTTGGGTGGAGGAAAATGGAAAAAAGAGAGGAGGGGGATTGGCTTATGTGAGCCCCTAATAGCTTATAATATGCAAGAGGCTGGCTGGCTGGCTGGAACCCTCAAACGGGAGCGGTAAGGATCCATCTCAACGTTTTGTTGTTGCAGATCCCATCGGTTGCCCTCCTGTTAACTCAACCTGCTGGGAAATGCTGTTAAGGTTTTAACAAAGGTTTACATTTTGAAGGAGGGGCTGGCGCTGCAGCTACTTCCAAGGGACCCCCCCCCCCGCCACCATGCCAGTTCTTTTGGAATGTGCCCGGGTTATAGCAACACAATTGTATATACACATAAAATAGGGGGTTTGGGGAAACCCAGTTGAAAGGAGAACGATGATACACTCTTTACTCTCTCCCTCCCCCCCACTTCAACACCAAAATCTGCTGCTTCCACAGTGGATAACTCAAAACTCAGGCCGGGCATACAGGTGTGTGAGTGCAGAGGGAAGCTCAAGGTTTTAACATATGAAGCGATTCACAAAACAACCGCAGTTGTCGCTTGATGACTCCGAGGCCTGAGGCGGCCATCACAGGGTTGCCTTTTGTTTTCTTGAGCACCGAGATTCTTTTCCTGCACCTCGGTAACTGCAGTGAGCGGCTGCAACCATGCCCCTCTCGTCAGTGTCGCTACAGCCTTGCTCAGTCCTTAGGGTTTTAAAAAATATATTATATTCTGATATGTGCAACAACAAAAAAACCAGACCCCCTCCCGTACCCCAAAACTGTTTCGGCTTGAAATCAGGAACCTGTTTTAACAAGAAAGAAGGGAGATGCTGGCAGGATTGGCAGAAGGTCCAAGGAAGTCTTGTTACGTTGATTTCCAACGGGGTTGTTCTTCCGCCATTGCCTGCCTTGGCTAGGAAGGAGGGAGAGAAGGGCTCCTGTTTTTTCTTCTCCGTGTTCAGGCGTCAGGGGCTGCAACGCTGGTGTTTGCTGGCGGTCTCTTCACATTTATCATTCCGCTCTATCAAGGGCCTCTTTCCAGGAAGACAAAGCAAGAAAAAACAACAACAGCACAATCACTGCCAAGGTTTATTATTATTATTATTATTATTAGGGTTTCTTTTCTCTGTCTTAACAGCAGTCACCTTGTCCATCGCTGGCTCTCCTGCCTCGATTTTTATTTTTAAATGAAAATCCGCCATAAGGTGGGGAAGGGAGTCAAATTGGGAACATTGTGCAGCTTGGGAAGGGCGTCACTGCTTTCTTGATCAAAATGGCTTCCGAAAAGCATCTATGCTCCATGGAAGCAAACAACTTCAGAGAAAGGTTTCAGTCAGGGAAACGGCACACTAGGGAACGGTCCGCCCCAAGTCACCCTCATGCTTGCTTTTAATCATTTTGAAAAATACAAGGGAGGCCAACAGGACTTCCATACTGTCTTGGTCACAGCTATGCCATACATTTAAAAGCATAACAGTGTTTAACAGTCATAGAGAATCCTGGGAACTACAGTTGTTTAGGGTGCTGGGAACTTTAGTTCTGTGAGGTCCACATCCTTAAAAAGAAAACCAAAAAACCTTCAGTTGCTAGGATTCCTTGTGAGAGCCCTGACTGCTAGTGATAGAAGAGTGCTTTAAACTCATGGTGTCTGAACAGGGGATGGTTTCACGCTGTTCCACGCAGAATTATTGCCAGGTGTGCCATGTTCAATAGGGAACATGATGTTGGACTCCCAGCACCATGGCCAACGCTCAGGGAAGAGAGAAGTCATCGTTCAGCAACCTCTACAAGGCCACAGGTTCATGAACGATGTTCTAGAATCTCCTTAAAGGAGACAGGACACAGACTAAGCAAGAGGGATATTATTCTGCCATCTGTGCCATAATATGGGGCAGCCTTCATCCTTATCACCTGCTCCGCATCTTGTATGTAATCTTTACTCTCATCGTGAAAGGTGTTCATATTGGTGTTGAGATCTCCTAAGCTATTTTACTGTCGAATCGGGGTAACCCAAGACCTAAACAGTCCTTAACATCCCTATACCTAAACAGCCTCGGTCCTGTATACCTGAAGGAGCATCTCCACCCACATCATCCAGCCCGGACACTGAGGTCCAGCGCCGAGGACCTTCTGGCGGTTCCCTCGCTGCGAGAAGCCAAGTTACAGGGAACCAGGCAGAGGGCCTTTTCGGTAGTGGCACCCGCCCTGTGGAACACCCTCCCATCAGATGTCAAGGCAATAAACAACTATTTTACTTTTAAAAGACAAGTGAAGGCAGCCCCCACACCCGCCCGCCCCCTGTCCCCCAAAACAGTACTTCTGTCTTGCCAGGATTCAACCTCAATCTGTTAGCCGCCATCCATCCTCCCACCGCCTACCTTTTTATTTGCACGTGTGGACATCATAAACTCGGATGCATTCCTGGCAGCTGACATAGCAGCACCAGTGGAAGATGCAATGACACTTCTCCTTCCTCTTCTCCGTCCGGGTGTTGTGGCCGCGGCCGCAGCAGAGCAAGTCGCACCCGTCGATCCCGTGCGAGGTCACGTTGCACATCCTGTCTCGGGTGCCGAACGAGCCGGTCTCGGGGTTGGGCTCACAGAAGTTGGGCGAGTTCTCGTAGTAGACCAAGTCGCGCTCCGTCGGCGGCTTGAAGAGGGCGTATTTTGCACGCAGCGTCTCCACCCACCCGCGAGACTCCCGGTGTTTCTCTACCACCATCTCCGAAGCGCTGTCGTATTTGTCCTTCAAGTAGTCGCCAATGGCGCGGAAATCCGGCTGGGCCCACCAGCATGTTTTGACCTCGCAGCTGCCCGACAGCCCGTGGCACTTACATTTCAGGTGCATGTGGTCCAAGATCGTCTAAACCAAAGCGAAACGAAAACATGCCAGTCAAGTTCAGAGAAGCACAGAGAAGCACCCACAGGGCATCTTCCATCTAGGCTCTACTGGGGCTAAGGCCATGGACCAGGCAAGATTATTCTAATACAGTCATACCTCGTGTTGCGTTAAGTTCATGTTGCGTCTTTTCAGCTTGCGAATGCGGCAAATTTGGAAGTGTAAACAGTGGTACCTCTGGTTATGTCATTAATTCGTTCCGGAGGTCCATTCTTAACCTGAAACTGTTCTTAACCTGAAGCACCACCTTAGCTAATGGGGCCTCCCGCTGCTGCTGCGCGATTTCTGTTCTCATCCTGAAGCAAAGTTCTTAACCCGAGGTACTATTTCTGGGTTAGCGGAGTCTGTAACCTGAAGCGTATGTAACCTGAAGCGTATGTAACCCGAGGTACCACTGTTCTTCCGTATTTCGCTGCCCATGCATGCGCAGAAGTGTTCTGTGCACTTCGCACATGCGCAGAAGTGCTGTATCGCGCTCCGGGCTTGTGCAGAAGGGCCACTCTAGTTGCGGACTTTTCGGGGTGCGAACGGCACCCCGGAATGGATCGTGTCCGCAACTAGAGGTACCACTGTACAGTGGTACCTTGGTTCTTGAACGTCTCCTTTGACGAACGTTTTGGAACCCGAATGCCAAAAACCTGGAAGTAAATGCTTCCATTTTCGAACGTGCCTCGGAAGTCAAACTGCGTATTTTTCAATTTTCTCAATTGAATTTGCAGGCAGCCCTTTGCGCCTCAGTTTTCAAACATTTCAGAACTCGAACGGTCTTCTGGAATGGATTACGTTCAAGAACCGAGGTTCCACTGTACAGTATATATATGATTACAGGGGCACGATTGTTACATGCACAAGGATGGAAGGATACAGTCCTGCTATGGAGGAACGGTTGATAAAATGACTGGACTGAGATGGCAAAGTTGACGTGTTTAATTAGAGAGAGAAAATCGTTGGCATTGATTAAGGATTGGAAACTTCTTATGGACTTTTTGCAGGAAAGAGAAAATGGACTTGTAATATTTGGATTTGAAGACTGGAAAAATATTGGCTTATAGAAAATAAAATAGCTGGATGTTATTGAGTGAACACTATATTGAGCTGACAGACAGAGAACGGGAAGTCTTTTATCCTTTTCCATTTTCTTTTCTTTCTCTCTCTTTCCTTTTTATTTTAAATTCTGATTTTATAACCAAAGATTCCACTAACTAGATGTAGTAGTGAAAATTTTGAGTTTTGTGTTTGGTGGTGGTGGTTGTTTTGGATTTCCCAACGATATAATCACATGATCAGCATACAGGTTAATTGTACAGTTGTCTCAGCCTCAACTTCTTCAATGTTAATATTTTGTCAATTGGCCAGGGTTAGCGATTCTAAAGCTACTGAGCAAAATAAAAGGGACGAAGAGACATCTTTGCATAGTTCCTTTTTAACGGTATCATTTTTTTTCTTGAAAGTGAACTCTGCACTCAAATGCTTCTATGCAAATTTCTCTCATTAGACTTCTTCATTAAGGAAAAATGCTGCCAACCACTACTTTGCTCCATGAAATGTCATTCAGACCTTAAGGTCTTGATTTAATAAGGAAATTGGGTGGTAATTATGATAGAATAGTAAGCTGTTTGAATAGCGTTTTAGATTGTTCAGCTCTGCAAAGGCAAATTTATTTTATTATCCCCCATATTGCTGATGGGCACTGAGGATGAGAGTAGTTTGTCTAAGGGAAACTAATGGCAGAGGTCAAATTATTTGCAGCTCAGCCGTTTAACTACCATGTTACACTATATATGATTCCTGTCTTGCCAAATCATATCTGCATTTTGGCATGATTTCAGCACAATCCAATGTACATTTACTTGCTAGTAAATGCAGACAGCTTTCAGCGGCTTTCTTTATCTCTCCTCTGTTGACCAAGGCCTCCATCTCTTCTGTATATTCCTTGCATACTCTTGGATGTCATATTTACTTAACTCAGTTCTGGGTAATATTTCTGAATTTTTATTGGGTGACTAGAACAGTGTTTCCCAACCGGTGTTCCGCGGCACAGTAGTGTGCCGCGAGATGTTGCCTGGTGTGCCGCTCCGGCGGCTCCTCTGCGGCGGCGGCTACAGCGGCAACCTCGGGCGGCTCCTGAGGCGGCGAAGGCGGCCCAGCGGCCGGAGGCGAAGACGGTTGCGGCTGCTCCCGACGCTCACCAGTGGCCTCCTCTTCCTCGCCGCTGCTGCTTCGCGGCTTCTCCTCCTCCGCCTCCTCCTTCTCCTCACCGCCGCCTTTTTCAGGGCTCCGGCTCCTTCTTCCCCTCAGGCTCCTCCGCGGAAGGCCCGTCCAGCAGCTCGGCCTCCGAGTCGCCGCTGCTGCTGCCGCCGCCGCCTCTTTCTCCTCCGCTACCGCCGCCGGGCTCTCCTCCTCCTCCTCCGGGCCCTCGTCCTGGGCGGGCAGAGCGGCGGGGGTCTCGGCAGCCGCCGGGCTCTCCTGGGTCTCCTGCATGGGGGGCTACGCGGCCTTCCCGCTCGCCTCACACGCGCGGCGCACGAACAGGCAAGGCGGCGCGCTGGGCCGAAAAGGGGGAGGGAGGGGGCACAGAGCGCGCAGGGGAGGCGCCCTCTCGCCGGGCTATGTGCGCGAGAGCGGACCTGGCGGCGAGTCTCGCGAGAGGGGCAGGGACCAACTCGGCAGACGAGAGGGGGAAGGAACGGATTCCAAAACCGGTGTCTTGCCGCGTTGTATATGTTAATTTCCTATGTTAATGGTGTGGGAATGTTCTGGGGTGAAGGAAAGGATATATTGACTAATTATATCCTGATCCAACTTGTGCTAACAAGTTCCCAAAATATCAGCAGAGTTTACATACATTCCCCTTTAGTACGCAACGGTAACGTGTGCACAGGTTCGCTAGAACCTCTATAATAATTACCCTGGTAATTTCCCCTTTAGTTCCCTCTTAAAATACAAGACACGACACAGTCTTCATAAAAGTATAAAAGAGTTTACTCACGTCCTGTTCACAATGTGATCCCAGACGGCAGACAGGCTTAAAAAGGTTACATAGATTTAGAATCTATCTCATAGTAAGATAGGCCTTATCTCCTCTCTTGGCTGGGAGCCAAGAGGGCATCCTTAGGTGTTTCCTCGTCGAAGGAAAATGGCAGAGAGAGAGAGATGGCTGCCTGCCCTGTGCTTTTTGTCATCACCTGCACAGGTGAGGCCACACCCACCTCTGGACACATGCGGAGGAAGTCCGTCCCCAGGAAGTTTACCTGCTTGCTGGACAGACATCCCCCCCATGTTCTAAACATGTACACTCTAGGAATGTTGTCATTGACTGCTCCTGTGTTTACATCCCACAAATGGGCTAGGACAGGGTTTGCGATCGGTTAACGCCCAGTTATGCTTTCCCCCTAGGAATTAGGCGTTTCGGTCTTGAGGTACGCTCGCTTCACACCCCACTTGGAGGTTCCCCGGCAAGGGGGAGGGAAAAAAATTGAAAGTTACACTTTCGTGCGTCCCTCCCGGCGTGACGCTGCGCGCTGACGTCACGGGGCTGTAATGGTGGTGTGCCTCGAGATTTTTTTCATCAAACAAGTGTGCCTTTGCCAAAAAAAGGTTGGGAAACACTGGACTAGAAGATCAGTTCATAGGTTATGCTATGTCGAACCATGGTTTAGCACGAATGAGCAGATGTGCAGCTTTCTGAGGAGAAAATTGTAGTCACTCCTTTCCCAGTACCACAGTCGCTAGACTACCTGGGGCTAAACCATGGTTTGGCTTAGCATTGTGTCTAAACTGCAAAGCGCCCATCTGCACCCATCAAGAGCACACCAGGAAGGCTATGGAACAAGTGCAAAATATCTGCTGGAAATGCAAAGAAAAAGAAGGCACCTTTTACCATATGTGGTGGAGGTGTAAGGTAATACAGTGGTACCTCAGGTTACACACGCTTCAGGTTACATACACTTCAGGTTACAGACTCCGCTAACCCAGAAATAGTACCTCAGGTTAAGAACTTTGATTCAGGCTGAGAACAGAAATCGCGCGGCGGCAGCGGGAGGCCCCATTAGCTAAAGTGGTACCTTAGGTTAAGAACAGTTTCAGGTTAAGAACGGACCTCCAGAATGAATTAAGTTCTTAACCCGAGGTACCACTGTAAAAACATTATGGGAAATGATACATAATGGATTGGGGGGGGAAATGTTTAAAATAATGTTTGTTGGAAAACCCAGAGGCTTTTTTATTAGGAATGGTAGGTACCGATATTCCAAAGGAGCAGGAAATACTTTTTATGTATGGAACGACAGCCGCACGGATGTTACTAGCTCAGAGATGGAAAGAAAACCAAGTCCCTACCAAAGAGGAATGGCAAACTAAACTGTTGGATTATGCCAAAATAGCAAAACTGACCTGAAGACTCAGGAATCAAGAAGACCAAAACTTCAGTGGTTAGACAAGATGGCCTCCTTAGGCCTGGGTTTAGTCACATTTTGGATTTCTCTGTTCTTACACCAGAGGCCTTTCCAGTGAGTAAGCTAGGCAAAATGGGGCAGGACATCTTTTCCCCAAGCTGTCTCGAGAAAAGGACAAAGAGGTGAAGGGGCACACTCACTGTTCTCCCAGCTTCATTATTGTGCCTGTTCATGGCGGAGCGGGCATCCGGGCGATTTTCTCGGGCGTCGGCAAACTCCCGCGAAACCAGCACGCCAAAGTCGGCGTCCTCGCTGCATCCTCCCCATTTCCAACCTTCGCCTGGTGGCCCCTTGTGATGCGAGTCGCAACCGCAGATGGTGGACGTGCCTTCAGCGCAGGAGCGAGTGACGGCGAAGGCCACGCCGGCTGAGGCGATGGCGTGGACAAAGGCAGATTCTCGCGTGGCTGCGAACAAGAGGGAGAAAAAGACCCGGTTATTTTGCAAGCTGTGATCTTATCATTCGCCTTCCCATATGAAGCAGCTTATGGCTTTTGGATTTGAAAGTTCAGGCCCACAATCAAAAAGTCCCGTCTTTGTTCTCTTTTAGCAGAATTAGATTTCTTCCAAGTTCTGTCTCCTGCTAGTAGTATTTTAGTATTTCTTTTTAAAAAATGAGATTATGTGCTATCTTTTGTTTTGCATGAAATGTCGCAGAGAGCTGCTTTGAGAGTTTGCGTCCAACAGTGAGGAATAATCCATCGCCGAGCTATGCTCAGAACAGGGACTGGGGCAGAAATGTAGGGGTTAGGGTCTTTGGAAAACGTGTCGTCGTCCATTTACAAACTCCGGCATAAAGATTTAATTCCTTTTCTGTTGGTAGCTGCAATGCTAGTAACAGTGTATCACTGGAAATCCCAGGTCCAGCTACCTCTTGAGACTGGGTTCAACAAAATTTGGGTTATAACTAGTTCAGAACGACTAACTGGGCTTAGAAGAATTGCAAATGGGTTTATTATAAAGAACATCTTTGATGAAACCTGGCCTCCCCTTTTTTCATACAGAAGGGGAAAAGGTTCTCTGTCGGTGAAGAACCTATATGGACTGCCAACATTTTAAGACCATGTAAAATGATGCCATAGACTTGATGCTTTGTTCTTTTATTTGTGATGACTGTACTGTATAATTAAAAACTCCAAAAACAAACGCTTTTCAGCTGTAAAAAGAGTGCACCTTCGATTTTAAATCTGGAAAACAAGAGTGCCTCCGGCCTTGGACGTTTTGGAACCGACTCGAGCCAAAGTAGCTCCCCTCAGGAAGGTTGCCTTCGAAAAATAAAGTAAGATACGGTGTGCGAAGATAAAAACTCTGCGGGGAAAGTTGCCACCTTGAAACCGACGGAGGCTTCCGAAGATTTGGGAAAAGGCCGTCTGGAAAAAAGCCCAACTCTCCACCCCACCCCATGAGGCATGGGGGGTTGCCTGAGAGAGATTTCCCAGTGGCAAAATTGAAAGTTCCCAGAAGCGCTGAGGGGGCCGTGTTGGGGGGCAGAGCCTGGGTGGATTAGGGGCTCTTGACAGAGCTCCACTGTAACGGTCTCCTATCCAGACCCCGTTACCTGCTGGGACACTCAATTTGCCATTGTTTGCGGAGTGTCACACTGTATTACCCACATAATGTGGAATGTTTCTGCCAGGCCCGGCAGTACCCACGGGGCTGGCATTCCCCGCGGCCACCCCTTGGCAACGGGGCCCGCGGCCGCCCTGCCCTGCCATCCCCCGCGAGCCCACCAGTCAGGCTAGGAAATCTCTATTGAGACCTCTGGTGCCGCCGGTCCTCCCCTCCCGGGCTCCGGGTGGCGAAAGGGCGTGTGAATGGCGCGGGGTTGTGAAGCAGTTCAAGGTCTGGAACGATATCCCCCTGCCCCAGTGCACAGTGGGGATGGGAGCTTAGCTCTTTTCTCCTGGATATAAGCTCATTTTCTCTCCCTCCCCACCACCCGCCGCTGCCTTTAAATCTCCTGCGTTTATATCCAGTCCCCCTCTTTAAATGCAAATTTGTCATCTGTGTCACAGCTGAGGAATACTGCTGGGTTATCACAATGCTCTAGGGCCATTTCGCAGCCTCTGATTTCCTCAGCCGAGGCCCTGGAGATGCGGGTTTTGTTCGCCACATTTGTTCCAGGGAAATGCAGTCAGCTTCTCTTACACAGAGAGTCATTTGCTACGGCTCCCTGAGGAGGTAGCCTTTTCAGTCCTGAGGGGACCCACCTTTAACCTTGTTCTGCACCATGAGACCCACCTTTAACCATTTTTCCCCTCAGCCTTTCAGAAACCTTAATTTTTTTAGGCCTTGAGGTGGTTAAAAACCTGGGCTACTTCAGGCTTTGGGTGATAGCTGTCAGACTCCTCCGTGTAAAAAACACACACAACACACTTCACTTTAGGCCAGTGGTTCCCGACCTTTTTTTGGCCATGCCCCACCTAAAAAAGGTAAAGGACCCCTGACAGTTAAGTCCAGTCACGAACGACTCTGGGGTTGCGGTGCTCATCTCACTTTACAGGCCGAGGGAACCGATGTTTGTCCGCAGACAGTTTTTCCGGGTCATGTGGCCAGCATGACTAAGCCGCATCTGGCGAAACCAGAGCAGCACACGGAAACGCCGTTTACCTTCCTGCCAGAGCGGTACCTATTTATCTACTTGCACTTTGACATGCTTTCGAACTGCTAGGTTGGCAGGAGCTGGGACCGAGCAACGGGAGCTCACCCTGTCACAGGGATTCGAACCGCTGACCTTCTGATTGGCAAGCTCTAGGCTCAGTGGTTTAGACCACACCGCCACCCGCGTCCCTAAGCATCTCTAAAATCCTGATGCCTCTCCCCTGTGACATATAATTCTTATTATTCAAAAAGTAAACTCCTATTCACATGGAGGAAGCCTAAAAGGCCATCAACTTGGTCTAACTCATTCTCAAATTGCTCCCCGCAAATCAAATTGGCCCCTCTGTGGGGCGTGTGCCCCACGTTGGGAACCATGGCTTTAGGCAATGAGATATTCAGGAGTTTTATTGTCCCCTAGCCTTTCGGCTGAAAAGCTAGTTTTCTATGTCAAGGGAAATGTCTGCCTGGGGGAGCGTTTGATCATGTTTCCCACCCCCCACAGTGTAAAAGCCGAGACCAGGAAATATAATTGTTCTTCCACTTTCTTGGTCTTCCTTTAACATGAAAACATGGTACAGTTAATATGGCCGGTTTAAGGCGTGGCACTAAGTTGGGCTCAGATTTCAGATTCTGCTCCACCTTGGTTTTATTTATTAAATTTAAGCTGCTTGTTAACTTGGGCGTGCACGCATATGCAATTCATATCCTCCCTGGTTCCTTCTTTCCAAATTGATCGATCGTGGGGTTACATCAATCATGTTGTTATGGCCGGCCGGCTAATAAATCACGACTGACTGATACATTAATCACGTCTAGGCAGAGGGGATTTTACCACTTCCCCAGATTTTTGATTATTCAGACGTGGAGTGAAATTCTCTTCACTTTGCCCATTATTCCAAGTTGCCTCTCGATAAACTGCTGATCTGAAATTTAATGAGATGGGTGGGGGCAATAAGAGAAAACGGGAATTAAATAAACAGCCCCCCTGGAGAATGAAATATCCATTAAAAATGGTGTTTTTTTACAACCGCGAGTTGTCACCTGTCTCCCTCCCTCGGAAAATAAAATGTACAAATTTAATGGTACATGTAAATCCCAGTGGGCCCTCAGCGTGATCCACTGGGAAGGCCACCTGTCCAATGAGATGGCTGAGAACTTTGCAATGGCCTGGTAGGTTACTTTCACAGTTTCCCATTCAATTCATTGGGGTTTTTACAGGAGATCTTATTGCTGGATGGTGTGTTTTGTTCCACAAGGCCTATATCATTCTCCTGTGGGCTGTTGGGGGTGCCTGTGTGTGTGTACAGTCTTGGTAATTTGTTAATCTGTACTTGCCCTTAGGTGGGACGTGGGTGGCACTGTGGGTTAAACCACAGAGCCTAGAGCTTGCCGATCAGAAGGTCAGTGGTTCGAATCCCTGCGATGGGGTGAGCTCCCATTGCTCGGTCCCTGCTCCTGCCCACCTAGCAGTTCGAAAGCACGTCAAAGTGCAAGTAGATAAATAGGTACCGCTCCGGCAGGAAGGTAAACGGCATTTCCGTGCGCTGCTCTAGTTCGCCAGAAGCGGCTTAGTCCTGCTGGCCACATCACCCGGAAGCTGTACGCCAGCTCCCTTGGCCAGTAAAGCGAGATGAGCGCTGCAACCCCAGAGTCGTCCACGACTGGACCTAATGGTCAGGGGTCCCTTTACCTTTACCTTTACTTGCCCTTAGACAGAGAGGATGTGAAGTATACCTGTATGTGAGATCTTAGATCTGACTTACTGAGCAGCTTACAGTAAATGCATTTTTTTCCTTCCCTCCCTCCCTGTATGATTATACTGGGACAACCTATGCTGCCTCCCTCTGTTGTTTGCAACAAAGCTGTATATATATTTCCAGCAACATATAATTTGGTGTTGAAATCAGAAGTAATTTTTTTTAAAAAAGGAGAGTGACACACGCATTATTTTGCAAGTCAACACTCCACATTAATGCCCTTAAACTGTTGCCATTTAAAAATAATTTAAAAATCAGCTGTAATTTTTAAAAATTAAAATATTTTAAGGTCACGCTTTGCACAAACTGGGTGCCAATTATTGGCATGTTCTATGCGATAATTGTGAAGCTGCCTTCTCCTTTCGGCTCAATGGGTCGATGGCTCTCAGCCTAAGTCAACTCACAGGGTTGTTGCAGGGAATAAATGAGGATTGGGAGAACCTTGAGCTCCTGGGAGGAGGAAAAAAAGTGGGGGAAGCAATGCGTAATAATGAATAAAATGTGCTCCACTACTGGCAAGTTATGGGTGCTCCTCCTCTAACCCGGCTTGTGCTGTACCTTTATCGAGAACAGGCCCGAAAATGGCCAAGCTGTCGTCGATGGTGGTGCAGTTCCAACGGCGCCCCCGGAACTGGTGCTGGCATTCCTGGATTCCTAGCTTCACGCCCTCAGCCACGCTGGGCATGATCTCGATGTAGTTGCGGCAGAACCGGAGCTGCTTGGGCACTAAGCCAGGAATGGAACCGCACAGGATCGGCTGGGAGCCCAACGAGGTATATTGCTGGCCTAACGCAAGGGACCTGCAAAGGGAGAACATATACAACCCCCTGCTTGAAAGGGCATTGGGCACTTTGTATGCCCGCACTGACTCTTCCACCCAGTGGCAGACTGTCAGGAGCCAGCAGTCAATCACACCCTGCAAATGAGAGTTAACTCTTCATTGGCAAAATCAGGATCTGCACAGGAGGATCTGTCAGGCCTAAGGAGCACAGCAACTCTTCTCCGGCAGATCTTGCCCCTATGAAGAGGTTGCTGAGACCTCCCCACGGCTGCCTAAGCCCCCTCCTTTCCAGGGTTACCCCCAAGCAATCTGAGACTATGCCTGAAGCCAACCTCGGCTCTGCCCTTTTCATGCCTCTTCTGGTTCTGGGAGACCTGGGTTGCCTTGGGATATTTAAAGTCATAACTAGTCAAAGGGCTGCCCCGGGACAGGATATCATGTATTGAAAACAATCCTGACATCTGCCTATTGAACCTGCTCCCAGAGAGCTAATTCTTCTTTCTATGTGAAATGTCCCAAACCAAAGGTCCACCCGGCTCCACTCTGTTTTCTGAAAATCTTTCAAATGTTTGAAAACAATGCATACTCATCCTGTCTCTCTTTAGCATTTTTCTCGGGGGTAAATATGTCCAGTTCATTTTTGTCTTTCTTACTATCATTCATTGTGCATGGCAGTTTATCAACGTTCCTAAATCAAACTGAGAACTGTCTCTGCACCTAAAGATATTACAGTCTAAAATTAACAATGAAGGAGGGAGGAGGGAGGGAGGGAGAGAGAGAGGGAAAGAAAGAAAGAAAGAAAGAAAGAAAGAAAGAAAGAAAGGGTAGCAAGATATGGATATGAGCAATTGCATCTACAAACACTTAAACTTTGCTACAGTTGGGAACAAGGATTAAGGGATTAGTCCAAAATCCTTGCAGAAGTGATAGGAGGGAAGAAAGGAAGAAATATAAATGTTGAGGGAGAGACATCCCAGCATAGTGAGTCATGATTCCAACATAAAACATACTGGTTTTTCTTCTACCCTTTATCAATTTGCATAGTTCTCTCCCGAGTCCTTTCCCACGTTTACAGTTGTGGTACACAGAAAGCGATCACAGCACCGTCACCTCCTGAATCCCAGGATAAACAACGTTTCCTTAATAGACCTAAGACAACCTTGTGGGGTGGAGGGGGATGAATGGATTGTGATATTTCCATTTTATAGATTTGGGAGAACTCAGACAGAGAACCTGCCGTTTGCCCCTGAAATGACCCTGCACGTTCATGAGCTGGGCAGGATTCGAACCTGAGCCTGATGCTCTGCTGAACCGCACTGCCTCAACCCCTCATTAAGACTGGGGAAGTGCTGCATGCCACGAAAGCACACAGGCAATTATATCACCTCATTATCTTCTTACCAGCGCTGCATTAAGCTGCGGTGCAAAGATCAAAGCCCTTGTTTTCTTTCAGGGTGCTCAAGTCTTGTCGTTCAGAATCTTTTTTGCTAACTTGGCAGCAGAACCGTTTTTCCTTTGCTGCGGTGGAAGCCGGCCTGCTTTCCAGGAAGCGGCAGCTGTAACCTTGGGGAGAGCCCAGGTTCCTGTGCAAATTTATCCCCCCAGAGAGGCATTGCGTGGAGATGATGGAGCGTGTGGTGTTAGCACCCTGCTTGTATTTTCTAGGAACGTCCAATGCTGGGATTAGATTCTACGTACAAGGCTGGTTCTACGTGGAATCTGCCTTTTGAAGGTTACTTGCAACAACAACAACAACAATTTATTATTTATACCCCACCCATCTGGCTGAGTTTCCCCAGCCACTCTGGGCTGCTCCTAATCGAGTGTTAAAAACAATACAGCATTAAATATTAAAAACTTCCCTAAACAGGGCTGCCTTCAGATGTCTTTTAAAGATAGGATAGCTGATTATTTCCTTCACATCTGAAGGGAGGGCGTTCCACATGGTGGGCGCCACTACCGAGAAGGCCCCCTGTCTGGTTCCCTGTAACCTCACTTCTCGCAATGAGGAAACCACCAGAAGGCCATTGGCGCTGGATCTCAGTGTCCGGGCTGAACGATGGGGGTGGAGACGCGCCTTCAGGTATACTGGGCCGAGGCCGTTTAAGGCTTTAAAGGTCAGCACCAACACTTTGAATTGTGCTTGGAAACGTACTGGGAGCCAATGCAGATCTCTCAGGACCGGTGTTATGTGGTCCCGGCGGCCAGTCCCAGTCACCAGTCTAGCTGCCGCATTCTGGATTAATTGCAGTTTCTGGGTCACCTTCAAAGGTAGCCCCACGTAGAGCGCATTGCAGTAGTCCATGCAGGAGATAACTACACCTGGTCCAGATGCAGCAGCTAGACCATGGGTAGGCAAACTAAGGCCCGGGGGCCGGATCTCGCCCAATCGCCTTCTAAATCTGGTTCACGGACGGTCCAGGAATCAGTGTGTTTTTACATGAGTAGAATGTGTCCTTTTATTTAGAATGCATCTCTGGGTTATTTGTGGGTCATAGGAATTTGTTAATCCCCCCCCCAATATAGTCTGCCCCCCCCAAGGTCTGAGGGACAGTGGACTTGCTTGAAAAGTTAGCTGACCCCTGAGCTAGACTCCCATCCTAACTAGGACTAGCCATAGGGACCATAGTACACCTGTCCTCAAAGAATGTACTGTTAGCAATTGGTTCATGGGCATAATTCAAGGGACTGTGGTCATAACAGTGCCTTTTAAGTCTGCGCACTGCTTAGCTGAAGTGAAGTTTCCTTCCAAATAATAATAGTAGCAGTAGCAGTAGTAGTAGTATTTATATCCTGCCCAACTGGCTAGATTGCCCCAGGTACTCTGGACAGCTTGCAACAAAATATTAAAAGCACAGCAAAACATCGACCATAAAAAACTTTATTATTTCTGTGCACTGCCCTTTATCCGTAGATCTCAGGGCTGTTCACGACTCAGGCCCACTCCTTTTTAGAAAGCATGCACAATTTATTTATTTTTATCCAATGGGCATTTGCCTTGCCATAATATAAAGTTAGCCTGCTGTTTAGACAAGAGAAGTGCTGTTTTCAATTCTTTGTCCACATTTTCTTGATCTCTTGGCTTGTTATTTTAATAAACGGGGGGGGGGGGCACACTATCAGATTATAAAGGTAAAGGTAAAGGTACCCCTGCCCGTACGGGCCAGTCTTGACAGACTCTAGGGTTGTGCGCCCATCTCACTCAAGAGGCCGGGGGCCAGCGCTGTCCGCAGACACTTCCGGGTCACGTGGCCAGCGTGACAAAGCTGCATCTGGCAAGCCAGCGCAGCACACGGAAACGCTGTTTACCTTCCCGCCAGTAAGCGGTCCCTATTTATCTACTTGCACCCGGGAGTGCTTTCGAACTGCTAGGTTGGCAGGCGCTGGGAGCGCACCCCGCCGCGGGGATTTGAACCGCCGACCTTTCGATTGGCAAGCCGTAGGCGCTGAGGCTTTTACCCACAGCGCCACCCGCGTCCCTACTATCAGATTATACTGATAACTATTCTGATAACTTTATTCTATGCAGCAAATATAGGAATCTGAGGGGGAAATAAGTTTGAGAGGCTGGTGTAGATCTATAAAGCCACCAACAGTTTATTCTATTTTTCAGTTGAAAATATCTCAGTTAAACAAAATTAAGTGAAAAAAATGAAAAAGAAGCAAAAAGTGCATATTATTATTAAGAATATAAATGAAATTATTATTCTAATACATATATGTTTATTTATAACCTGCTATATTTTTAATAAATGCTTTGAAAAAGATCATAATATTTGTCCACACACAATCAATGCCTGTAAGCTATCATGTCTCTTCTCCATTGATAAAGTCCCCAACATTGTGGCTCATGCAGGTATACTTTTGCTCTCTCTTTTTGGTGACCTGCCCAAAGCCTTTTGGTGTGGCCCCTCTTGGATGGAGAATGGACCAAATGGATGGCCCTCTACGCTGAACCTGGTGGTTTTCACAATCTTTTTGGGGAACCTTCGGGTTCTTTGATCACCAGCAGCAACCTTACCCAGTAACGTGCAGGTCAGCGATAACTCACAAGGTGTCAGTGAAGTTAAATTTTTATTCAAAGAAACAAAAGAGCTCAAGCTTAGCACAACAACTCTTCCCAGTAGGTCTTGCAGTTGCAAGGACTGAAGGTCCCCCGCCTTCCCACATCTCCCGAAGTCTCCTCTACCCCAGGTCCTGTTAGGATATTTCCGTTCCAGCTTAAAATGGAGCAGGCTATGTGAGTCACAGAGTCTGCGTATTTCCTGTTCACAGGAAGTTTATGTTTTCTATTGCTTTCGTTTCTCTCTCTGTGCCTGAAACACTGAAGCAGGCGGTCATGTTTCCTTTGTTCTGACCAACGCTGAATAAACTTATAAATAATGCTCTCCTGCGTGCATCTTTCGCTGTGCATTATCTGCTGATAAGAGCGTGCATCAGCTCTGGAATGTGGCAAGCTATTTCTGGAGCTCGTGTCGCTAATTGCTGATACTGCGTGTCTACGGGAGATCGATGGACATCCGGAGGCGACGTGGAGTCATGATGGACTTTGTCTCCCTGGCAGTATCCCAACAGGTCCTTCCCAAGCAATCTGAGGCTCCAACACCTTGTGCCCTCTTCATACCTCCTCTGGTTCTGGCAAACCAGTGGGAGGGTAGCTAGTCACAGCAGGAGAGGGAGACTCCCTGGTTTCTTCAGCAGCCTGCCTAATCTCTGCCTCGTGGCCTTTCTCCTCTCCACTCTCCACTTCTGCCCTCTGCCACAACCTCTTCCTGCTTACTAAACCCTGTTACCTCTTCAGCTTCCAACACCTCCTCCTCCCAGTCTTCTCCATCTGCTCCCTCTGACCACTCCTTCACCATCCCATCACCACCAAGAAGGCTCTGAGCCTTCTTCCCTTGGGATTTTCCCAGCTATGGCCTCCCACCACTCCTCTGAATCCAGCCAGTCCAGGGCAACAAATCTTGAGCATCTTCTTATACTCCTCCTTTCCAGCTACCATAATCTAGACCAGGGGCA